CCAGGGAGATTCCCATATGGCACGCAGGCCTCTCCTGTCTCACCCGCTGCTCCCCTGTCTCTGGTGAATCCTCTCACCCTCCCGCACTTCTGGCCTGTACCCCAGCTCTTATACTAAAAAAAAAAAAAAAAAAAAAAAAAAGTAAAGTCAGGATGGTGGGTATGAAGACATGCAAAATAACAAAGTGTTCTGAAGAGGCAATCAGGCTGTGGAGGGTTCCATTTTGAATATGAGGCCTATTAACTGTGTGGTGTTGAGTGATTACTCCATTAACAGTCAAGTTAAAGATGATAATGTGTAGGGTTTAGAATTGCAAACAGCACTTGCAAGGATTGCGCATGGTGCTCAGTATAAAACTGGGGCAAATTAGAGATATTTTATTTCCTCATTACTACTGTAATATTTTCAAAGCCCAGTTTCAGTATTTTTCCTCTTATTATAGTATATTTACATAGTGCTCTATAAATATTTTTTTCTTAAATGAGTATCTCACACACTAGGCTGGGGAGTTCTCTCCTGTATCCCCAGTTCCTACTATAGGGCCTTCCATAAACATATGCTCAATAAATGCATGTTAAATGAGCCATCCTGCCTTCCAACATGAGCCTTACTACATTCTGAACTGTGGACATCTGAAAGGGTGCTTTTGTCTTACCTCATACACTCTGTAGCGAACAACATCATTTGTTTTCATTACATTTTTCAAATCATCCAGCAGATTGCTATCAAATAAAGCCTCCAGTCCAGCTTGGGTTAGTGATATTCTTGACAGGGATTTAATGGCCTTATAAAAAAAATCAATTAAGTCATAAAAATACAAAATATTAATATCTACTTCATAAGATTGATGTGAAAATGAGTGTATGGAATGAAATGCACCTTGCCCAATGAGCATTTACTATGTTTTAGCTATTATTACTTATATTTGGAAAAAATACACAATATTTCCAAAAAAAAAAAAACTAAAGTAGTCTTTTTTTCTTATCAAGCAACCCAACATAAGCCCCATGATGGATAATTTAGATATGTGTATTTTAGAAAATAGAAAGCGTTCACTAGTATTTATTTGATGATCACTTATTTATTTGATACCATCTATACAAGGTTGCAAACTCAATTAGAAAACTATACAATCTGAACTTTCACCTCTCAATCCAGAAGGTCTTTTAGAAGATTAAGATCTCTGTATATTTAAGCTGTGGTTCCAGCTGACTCACCGCTTTAGCAACAGATAGATTCTCTCCACCAATACAATAAACAATTTGTTTTAGTAATTCAGCATTATTTAGAATCTCAGTAACAGCATCAGAATTTTCAACAATTCTTCCAACCTAAAAGAAAAAACAGTCAAATGCTCATCCAAGATAGGGCAACACATGAGCACACAATGGCCAATCATTTTGGGAGCTACTGACTAGAGCTGTAACACAAGTCATTAAAATTTTAAATGACCCAAACACATCTATGGCATAGTCTTATCTTTGAAAGCAAAGAAAATGAATGGTGTGGGGCCTCCCCGGTGGCGCAGAGGGTTGCGCGCTGCACTGTTAAGCTGTCCGCAGCCCCTGCAGCCCGGGTTCAATTCCTGGCTGGCCAGGGAGAAAGCCACACAGTGTGGCAGACCTCTCCTGCTTCGCCCACTGCTCCCCTCAGCAGTGTCTTTGGTCCACCTGCCTGTTCTGTTCCCCAATCTGTCTCTGGTGAATTCTCTCACTCTCCCGCGCCTCTGACCAGTACCCCAGTTCTTGTATAAATAAATAAATCTTTAAAAAAAAAAAAAGAAAATGAATGCTGGGTAAAAAGTTGAGACACTTCAGTGAGTTTAATACAAATCCTAGTTCTATCAATTTCTAGTTATGGTAGTCTTGGGCAAATTAAATAACTTCCTTGAACCTAATTTCTCATCTATAAAATAGGAATACAATCCTTAACTGCAGAATAGTTAAGATTAAATGACATTAAAAGCTAAAGCACTTTCTACACTAACTGGCACAAAGTCAAAAAATAATACTTTCCTTCTCTTTGCTAAATAAACACTTTAGAGGAGAAAGGAAAAACAGTAATTGAGTATCTACTAGATAACTGCTCAGCTCCTAACATTTCAACAAGATAATTCTAAGCTCTTTACCCCAAAGTAGGATATTTTGGCTACCAGGATGATAAATTACTATCTTTATTATTATTATCATCACTATTACTATTATTATCACTATATTCTTTCCCTTTATTGAAGTAATGTTGGCTTACAACACTGTACATGACTTAGGAGAAAAAAGTTGATACCTCCTCAAATGTATGTCACTATATACCACACCCACCATCAAAGCACCCAGACACCTTTCCTCTAGGCCACTCGGTCCCCTCTCCCCTTTGCCCCCATCCCCAGTCTTCCTTCCTTCCTTCATTCTGCAGTCATATTTCTAAGGCTTGTTTCGGTTTAGTTTTCTAAGTTCCTTTGTTTTCTCTTTATTTCGCTTATGAGTGAAATCATCAGAGAAAGTTCCCTGTTTCACTCCTAGGAGAACGATCTAAAGTAGTCCAGACAAACACTGAACTCAGGATCCTGTGATTTGGGATGAAACTAGAGCACCCCCTGAATATCAGAGACCAAGACTGACCCTGCATTACAGAAGAGATGCTGAGGAAGAATTACTGTCTTAATTGGTTGGTTTACTGATCTTTTTAACAGTACTTCATGCCTCTACTGCCTAAAATGCAGTCTTTTTCTCTAGAGTAGGAGCTCCTTGAAGGGAAGAAAAAGGTTTTACTTATCTTGGTAGCTCTAACAGCATATGGCACAATGCCTGGCATATAACAGGAACTTATATGTATGTAATGAATGAATCATTCAAATGGTGCTTAGTGGACTTGTTACATGAGCTTGCAGCCTCCTGGGTAGAGCTAGTTACATACACCTTTATCTCTCTGTCTCTGGCACCTAGCATGGAGCCTAGTCCAAAACAGATGGTCAGTAAATGTTGGTTTTCTTATTAGGAGCTAGTAAAACTTCATACCTGGGACAGAGTGAGAATTTTAACAGAATCATTGGGGTGAGCCAGTCCCCTCTGCAGGTCAACTCTGAGGTTCCGGGCCACTTGAACTGGTTCCACAGCTTGGAGCAATCTTTCCAGAATGGATACACATAAAGTGGTCTGTTCCCTAAAGGAAAAACCATAGATCTCATTACTTCATGTCCTGTCAGGTAAGAAGTAACAACCTAATATCTGAAGTCTAACTCAATGAGCTCTCCTACATACAGACTTCCCTTCAAAACAGTAGCTTCTAGCATTTATTAAGGATTTACTAAATATCTTTTATATACCATGTCTTTGCTGGGGCTCAAAGAAGGACAGAGATATCCTCTAGCCTCAAGGATCTCTGTCTAAAAGAAAATACAGAAAATTAGAAAGGCAACTATAATCCAGGTAGGTAAATGCTATATAAAGACTAGAGGCAGTGGGGGCTCAGAAAATAACACAGAAGACGTCCCAGAGGGGTAACACTTGAGTTAAGTTTTATGGAAAGGTGAAAATTAGCTATGGGGTGGTCAGAAAAGTCATGACACATTTTTCCTCAATGGACTATTACTCAGCTATTAAAAAAGATGAAATGATGCCTTTTTGGATAATATAGATGGAACTAGAGGTGATTATGCTAAGAGAAATGTCAGAAAGTGAAAGACAATTAGCAAAGGTTTCACATATTTGTGGAATATAATCAAAAAAAACAAACAGGCAAAATACAACAAAAATAGCTCTTGAGACTCATGTGCACATGTTGAGATGTGAAGCTTTCCTCCTGAAATTATATCATTATGTAAACGAATTGCAAATTAATAAAAGTTGAGATAAAAATAAGTCTCTGTTTAACCCAAAGTCACAAAATTTTGTCCCTATATTTTCTTCTAGATGTTTTAGGTTTTGCTTATATATTTAGGCCTATAATTCATTCTCATACACCTCTGATGGGAATGTAAAATGGTATAATTTTGGAATGTTTTGGAAAACAACTTGGCAATTTCTTAGAATGTTAAATATACATATACTATAGGATCCAGCCAATCCACTCCTAGGTATTTACTCAAAGAGAAAAGATAGAGTATATCTATGTAAACAGTTGTACATAATTTTACAACTGTATTCTTTTGTAACATACCAACTGTATTTTTTGTAACATATCCAAACTGAAGACAATTTCAAAACTTTATCAACAGGTGAATTCATAAACAAATTGTGGTAAAACCATTCAGTGGTCTACTGCTCAGTAACAAAGGGCAATGATGTATTCATTCACACCACAGGGATACATTTTAAAATAATTAGGCTGAGTGAAAGAAACCAAACCAACGAATACATACTGCATGACTCCATTTATGTAAATTTTTTTTTTTTTTGAAAACGGCAAATTCATCTATAGTGATAGAAAGCAGATCAGTGGGTGCCTGGCTGAGATGGGAGTATCAAGGGTATGAGGAAACTTCTGGGAGTGAGAGATATCTTTCCTATCTTAATTATGGTGCTAGTTTCAGGGTACATACATATGTCAAAATTTGTCAAACTGTACTTTTTTAAATATATGGTTTATTTTTGATAAGTTATACCTAGCAGTGTTTGGTGTTTTGTTTTGTTTTCTCTCTCTCTCTCTCTTTCTCTTTCTAGATTAGTTTTATTGAATTCCAGAGGCTGAGAATACATAGCAATTACTTCCAGGTTTCTAAGTGAGTGTATAACAACCTGCCAAAATTGCTGAGGAGGTATGTCAAACACTAGCTTTTTGATCATCAGCCTAATTATTTATTTCAAAGGCACGTAATGGCTGTGATCAAAGACAGGGCCTAAGATCACTCAAAAAAGTCCAAGAAAGGAGAGTCCCTAACAGAGGCCGGGCTACTTCAGCAGAAAGACATTTTTGTCTCGAAAGGAGGGAGTTATTTTGAGAATTAACTTGGAGTGCCTAAGCTTTTTTCTCTTTTCAGTCATGAGGAGGAAGATCTTTTCTCAAAAATTATGGGACGCTTCACGAATTTGCGTTACATCCTTGCACAAGGGCCATGCTAATCTCTGTATCACTGCACTTCTAGCGTGTGTGCTGTGGATGCAAACACTCTGATTTTAAAAAAGCAACGTATAGTGTACAAATTTTAGGTCTTCTGTGGCCCTTTAGTACCAAGACAAAAAGTTAATAACTTAGTCAGCTTTGTTTGACATCCACATTGTACTCTTAAGACTTACTTTCCCTCACAAAAACTGTCAAGATTCTAGATTTATAGCTATTAGACTATATCCTGCGCCAATCCATAGCAACCTGTGTGGTTTAAAAAGGATGATGATAATACATCTGAAGACTAACAATCTATTATCCAGAGAAGAACTATTTCTACAAAGTACAATTATTATCTACTATGTCCCCAGCTCTGAATTATCCTGTCTTTAAATTTCCATTAAAATTGTTTTCTAGAGCACTGCCCCTTCCAAAAATCATCTTTCCCTTGGACCTTATTTTTCAAATTCCCCTTCGTTTCAGTTCCTTTTGTATCTTTGGTGTTTGGTTATGTTTTTGACCTTTGCAGGTCTCTTCCTCTGTTACATATAGTAGCTGGACTAGATGGCCTTTCTAAATTCTTTGAGTCTAATATTTTATCGGGTATATAGTGTATTATATACTGTAGCACAGGAAGGAAGCAGATGAACAAAACATGGGCCCTGCCTTCAAACAATTTACAAACTAGGGGGAAAAACACATAGAGAGCTATAAGGCAATAGTCTCAACTATCAATAACAAAAACAATGATAATCTCCTTCAAGAAATCTGAGGACCAGTCACTTACAACTGGAGTGGATGGCACTTCTTGGAGGGCAATGGCACTTTACTTGGCCTTAATGATGGGCACAATTTGGAGGGGGGGGGGCATTTCAGTTAGAAGGACTAGCATGAACAAAAGTAAGACAGTGCCAAGTCATTGCTCAAGCTAAAGTAACTGGTGCCACATGGTAGCTGGGGCAAATGACATATTTGTGTAGGAATGAAGGAAACATAGAACGGAAATATATCCAAGAGTCCAAATGCCAGATTATACACTGAAGGCAAAGGGATAGCATGGAAAAGGTTGAGCAGATGACTGGAGAAATTTACTCAAGATGGGTGGAACCCTAGGAAGAAAAGCTCCCAGGCAACAAGAAGTCAGACTGATGCAACCAACTACCGGAAGCAGAAAATTAAATGGGCCTGAATTAAGTGCACAAAAAAGAGATAGCTCATAGACAGATCCTATTTTATTATGTATTTAATGAATGGGGGGTACATATGAAAAAGGGAGAAATTATAGAAACCAAGAATGTGCTCCCAAGTTATCCGATATTGATCCAGTGATTCATCATTTCAAGTAGAAAGGCCACTTTTAATTTCTGGATGACAAACACTTTCACTATCTCAAAACCAAAATGTTTTCCAATCAGACACTACAGATGTGCATACAATGAAAAGTAAACGATGCCATCCTACTATTCTTCAGTTCCATTGCCATATTAAGCTTCTGCTGTGCCTTTCAGACATTCCCACTGTTATACCAGACTGTGTTTGTGTGTGTGTATATTGTGACCCTTTGTCACAATATGACATGTGATGGGACTATAAACTCCTACAATTTTTTTTCACTCATTATATATCTGAGGTCTTTCCTTGTTCACAAGTTTTCTAACAACTGCAGAGTATTACATAGCAACGTGTCATAATTTATTTAGAAGCCCCTTTTCACGGATATTTAGGTTGCTTCCAGGTTTTTGCTGTCACCTTCTGTTATGACTATTCCTCTACATACAGCACACGTTGTGGGAGCACATCTGTCTGTTTTAAGTCCTATAACAGGTATTACAGGATCAAAATTATGTGAATTTAAAATGCTGATGGCCAAATTACCAGGACAAGACCCCTACTTAAGAGGAAAAAATGAAGAAGCAGCACAAGCCTGAGAAGTCCCCCTGTAGGTGGGCAACCTTGCTTCCCTTCAAATTCCAATTTTAATGATGAAGGCGGGGCGCTAGACGAAGGCCAGGGGCCCACCTAGTCTGAACTTGAACCCGGTTTCTGCCTCTCATCCCAGGTTTCTCCCGTCCCTGACATTTCAGCTACCATCTACCTTCATTGCTACGGGAACTGTCCCCCCACCCCCTCACTCATTCATGCCCCTCCTCCGTACTTAGGGGTCTCTCTCTCCCCGGTCAAGCTGTGCAGGGTCCTCTCACCGATGGTTCTCGTTGAGGAGAGAGAAAAGCGGGCCCAGGTGCAGTTCCGGCGCTTGCTCGCGGAGCTCGCTGAGCGGCACCGCCTGCAGCATGGAATGAAGTGCACGCAGCTCCTCCAGCGGCGCCTCCAGCCGCGACACCTCCCTCAGCAGAGCCAGCACCTGCGCGGCCATCATGCCCCTCCCGCAGGGGCCGGCGGCGAGCCGGGCGGCTCTCGGAGCGCGTCGCCAAGCCTCGCGAGATCTGCTGGGCGCAGCCTCCCTGCCGCTAGTCTGGGCTGCGACTGGGAAGCGCCTGGGTGGCGCCGGGAGCCACGCGGGCCCGGCCCGCCGCGCGCGTTCGGGGGCTGTCAAACCTCGCGAGATCTGGGCCGCCGGGTCCAGCGAGCGGCCCCTGTGCTCCCCGGCGCGCCGTGGGCGGTGTCGCCGCCCGCGTTTCCAGGCGGCTTGCGGGTCTCCCGCAGAGAGCGGAGGCTCTTCTGTTGCGGGCAGGCGGCTGGCGGAGGATGAGGACCCGCCGAAGGTTCAGCGGCCTCGCCCGCCGTCTCCGGGCCCTCCGTCCAGGCTCTCGGCACGTCGAGAGCGGCGGCTGAGGTCACCCCGGGTGGAGCGCAAGCCTTGAGCATCCTGCCCCGGCGAGGGTCGTGTCGCTGGGAAACATGATGAAAACCCTCTGGAAGCTGGAGGAAGGCGTGAAGAACACCGACGTGGGCTGCTTTTTTTGGATCGATGAGTCAGCCGTGCGCACCGTTGAGAAACATGAGAAGACCGTCAAGGGCTCGCGGAGAGTGTTTGCCCAGTCTGTTCCAGGGTGCTGTGCCTTCCCCATGACGTGAACACCGGGAAGATGGAGACTGAGTTAACTTTGTGGATGGAGGACCTGACCATAATGGACGGGCCGCCGGCGCAGAAGACCATCTGCCACAAGCCCAGACGCATCTGCAAAGCAACTGGTGGAAGCCAATGGGAAGGGTAACCCAGCTATTCCCGTGCAAACAAGGGATACTTTGAGAAGTTCAGAAATCGCTGCAGTCTGGAAATGCAAGATCCATGGGCGGAAAAAACTGTTAACTGCCCAGTGGGCACCCAAGTATTTCAGACAACTCCAGAAACTGATCAGCGCTCAAGGCCATATGCCTCAACAGATCTTCAAAGTTGATGAGATGAGCCTATTTTGGAATTGCATGCATGCCTTTGTTTACTTTTAGGGAAAAAGAAAAAAATCCCTAAAGCTTAGAGGAAGCTAAGGACAGGATTTCCCTTATTTTTGGTGCCAACTGCCCCAGGTGACAAAATGTAAAAACCATGGCTACTTTCTAAAGATCCCAACCCACTTGTTTTTCGGGAAAAAAAATGGAAAACACCTTCCTGTTTTCTAGCAATCATGCCAAAGTATCTTCAAGCTCTGCCCTCTTTTTGGATTGGTTTACCCATCAAGTTCAGAGTTATTGAACTGAAAATATCTTAAATTCAAAGCTAATTTTGGACAAAGCTTTGCTTACCCTGATGTTAATAGGGTGTTTCTCCCTCTGGAAGGTGCTATCAGCAGCCTGTGGGTCATGTCTAACCACCTTGCGTTTCTTTGAAAGAAATATGGCACCATTATTATGTTGCTGATGTTTGGATAGTAATAACAGAGGCAATGGATAATATGAAGTTAAGTGCTCTTAATAAAGCCTAGTGGAAACTGGAGGACCTTGTGAATGATTGTGTGTGTTTTCCTAATGAAGCTGAAAAATCATAGAGTGCGAAATGATGGGCTTTACATTTATTGATATCCATGAAAGTGAAGTTAACGGGCTACTCAAGTTTCAAGCTTTGGAATTTGGAGAGAGTCAGGTATCCTTTAGATGAAGAGGGGTATCCTCTAGATGAAGAGGCCGAGATCCCATGAGCAGAGGTAAAGATGAATCAAAGGAAAACAAATGCTGCTTTTACTCAGGACTTGAGACCTCACTGATACTCTTAATTGATGTGGAGCCTTTCCTGAATGAAGTTTGACTCTTAAAAAATTTTTTGATAAAATGTATACCTAAAAAAGAGGTGCAGAGGAACTTTCAAAATAAAGCAAAGGAGTTGAAGAGAGAGGCGAAAGATACAAACAAAGAGGAAGGCTGAAGGAGATGAATAGGGAAATCTGAGTCAGAACCTGAGAGGAAGAGTAGAAGGTAGAAAGAAAGAGGACAAGAAGCCTCTAGAAGAAGAGCCTGGACCCTCAAACAGTAGCATCTGAAGAATCTACCAAAGTCATAAATGCAGAATTGGACTTTTGGAATCTAACCTTGGAAGTGAATCTGAAGAGAGTAGAGATACCAGAGTCAAAGGAAGAGGAAAATCCAGAGGCAGTTTCTTCCGAATAGCATTCATTTCTTGCCATCCTTCAGTTGCCATCACCACTATCTTCATTGAGACCATCCTTATAATCACCTTAAAATCACACATTCACATCATTGAGTAATTCAACAAACATCATTGAGAATTAACTGTGGGGTCCTATGCTACTGTGCTAAACCTGGGGATATCATCTCAGGAAACTATCTCAGCATCTAAGGTAAATAGTAATTAAAAGTGGCCTTTCTTATTAATGTATGGGTATAAAAGAGCACTGTCCTATTTTAGTGGACTTTGAATATAAAGGCTTCCTTAGGACCACTCAGCCTCATTTTCTTTAACCTTATTTTTCCAGGTACTAAGTTCTTCAATGACAAATGGAGATTTTCTGAGTTAACTTTGGTATTTGGAATGTAACTACTTGCTCTTGAAATGCTGACATGGCCTTATATTTTATAAAGCACTCTTAGTACTCATTTTCTCTGTTAATGGTCACTTTAGGTAATACCCATAAAGGAGGTATTAACACTTTCTTTACCACTTCTGCCCCCGCCTCCCCTCCCTCACCCCGCAAGCTCACAGCAGTTAAGTAACTTTTCTGAATCAGCACAACTAATGATGTGCATGGCAGGACTGGGGCTACTCCTGATTTATGAACTACTTTGTGTGACTGCTGGGCAGTGTAGCAGGCATTTAAAAATTTACAGCCCCAAGAAGGAGACACACAGGTAAACAGATAATGAAAATAAACCCAGGGACTGTGAACTGGCAACCTACAGGCTAGATTTGACTGACTGATATGTGTTCTTTGGTCGGGCCTGTCTGAAACAATTGAATTGGTTTTCAGTACTCCCCACATTCCTGTTTTGGGTAAGTTACTATTATGTACAATACAGTTTACAAACTTAATTGTGAAATTTCTTGCTTAACAATTGTGGAGCCACCACCATAATCAAAATATAGAGTAGTTCCCTTAACTTAGAAGTTTGCTTGTGCCTTGTGCACTCAGTCCCTTCCCCTGGCCCAGAAATGCCATCATTTAAAAATTAGTATATTTCACATTGAAGAGCTGGATCAAAAAACTGGGAACCTTGGCCCTCCCTAGTGGTGCAAGGGGTTAAGACACAGCACTATGAAGCAGTCCGCAGCCACTGCAGCATGAGTTCTGTCCCCTGCCAGGGAGCTGACCCACATGGCACAGCAGACCTCTCCTGACTCCCCCCGCTGCTCCCCTTAGCAGTGTATTTCAGTCACTCTGCCTGTTCTGCTCCCACTCTGTCTCTGTCTCTGTCTCTCCCCCTTCCTTCCCCCCCACCTGTGGCCTGTACCCCAGTTCTTGTATGCATAAATAAATAAATCTTTGAAAAAAAAATTGGGAAGCTTGGCAACCAGGACTCTGCATTCCCAAAGGCAACAGTTGTTAGTTGCTGCAACTCTTGTTTCTTTGTAGCTCCCTATAGTTGGTGTTAAATGTTGCAATGTAAGTGTGTACAGAGTACTTTAGGGGAGCAGGACTATGGGATTAATTGTGGGAAAGACCACAGAACAGCTGGCCAGAAAGATGAATGGATTCCTAGGGAGCACAGGCTGACAAGTGTTTTAAGCCAAGAAAGATTAGTTGGGAGATTCTGGGAGAAGGGGGTGATCTGGGGGATGAAGGCAGCCCTGTATGTGCTTCATTTGTTTTTGTTGGCGAGATGGGCCTCTATAAAGTGAAGTAGTTCAGGTCTCCATATGGTGCTGGGGTTGGATATTTCTGGGGAGAGGGTTGCCTAGTGAAAATTCTTCCCTATTTCTCTCCCATTTCCGAACTCCCCCCCACCCTTTCAGGCGGCTGGGTGAGGCCAGGCTGGGCAGTGGGGCAAGCAGCAGGTGGTTAGAGAGGACAGTTAGGCCCTCAGTGCCCGCCCACTAGCCAGACACTCAGCCTGAAGCTGCAGTTTGCTGAAGCTGTGCCATTAAGATACCGGCGACACCATGGACAGGCTGGCCTCACCATGCCCTTTGCCAGGCTACCCGCGGCCCTCTGTCCTTACATGCCTCCTGGTAAGTACCCTACTGATCCCCTGGCCCCTAAACCTTCCACCTGGAAGCGAGGAAAGAAGGCATAACACATTTCCCTTGACCGTGCCTGGGATTTTGAGCTTGGGGCAGGCAGGTGGAGAGGAAGGGTGATTTAAAATCCCCGGAGATGCCAACTGGGGTCCTGATTATGATGATCACCCATATCCCTTCACTCCCAGCCTGGGGAGGAGGGCTGACTGGGGTGTTCCCTTGGGCAGGAAATGGAGGGGCTGGAGTGTCTGCTGGTAAGGGCTCATCATCGATTCTTTCACTTTCTATTGCAGTTGCCCTCCCGTTTTGCTGTATTTTGCTTTGTTTCTCATCTCTGAAATACCTTAAAATGTTCAGCTCCCAAGTGACTGCAGAGTACCCCCTGTGGTGCTGTGGTTGGGGAGGGAGCCCAGGTGATCTGTCAGATAGGGTTAGAAGCCCAGGCATTTAGCTCTAGACTCTCATCTGGCCCATATTTTCCTCATCTGTAAAAATTGGCACAAATCAGTGACTGTCGACCTTGAGCACTATAAATGTTCTTGATTTTCTTTTATGAAAGTTCTGGATTTGCACCAAAATTAGTAACAATGTACTTAATTTCAGAGTAGCCACAGGTTCCTGAAAGCTAGGAGGATTACAAGTTTAGAGCCACTATGTAGATTCTGAGGTTCTTTTTGTTTTAACAGATTGTAAAGTCAGCTATAATCTCCAGGACACTCCAGGACAAAAAGAGGAAAAAGGCAGAATGAAATTTGACTAAGTGGAAAGATACACAGAATACTTTAAGAGAATGCAAAATAAGAAAAGGTATATAGAAAAAGATAAATATGACAGTGTTATAAAGACTTTTCTTTTAAAATTATAGTAGCTATTTTCCCATTATAATGTTTCTGTTAGGGAATATTGTAATGTGTGTATTTTCAGTTCATTTTACCTTCATATAATGACACTTTGTAATATATTTATAGTCAACCCTTGGTTCCAATTGGACTTTTATGTATCTGATACTTTGTTGATGCAGTCCACAAACACTTTCCAAGTCCATACTCCCTGGGAATACAGAAATGAATGAGATTGGAGAGCCCATGTCCAATGGGAGAGACATGGGAAAGTAACGGTCCCTCTCAGCCTGGTCAGCCATACAACAGAAGGCGGTTAAGCCGCATCCCTGGCTGCTACCCACTCGATGTCAATAGCATCTCCTCTCCATCAAAACAATTAAAATTGTCTCCAGATGATGCCAGATGTCCCCTGGGGAGCCAGACTGCCCCAAATTGAGAACCACTGGATTAAGCGAAGCCAAATACCCCACTCTATCAATTCCTAATCATGTTCTTTGCAGTTCAAAGAGCCTAGAATGGGTGTGGGAGTCTGGAATTCAAGTCTTGAGTCTGTCGCAGTTTCTGTATGTTCTGCCTACTTACATTACCTGTTCAATGAAGGGTTACCTTTGATAATATCTGAGGACACATTTACCTCTTTGAACTTTGGCTATGAGTTGGTAAGCATTTCAGTACATTTTAGTTGAATGCATATTTAATCCCATGAGCTCTGTGTTCCATTGATAAGCTGCTGGCTGACGTGCTGCAGATCTCCCTAGAAATGGCTTCTTCAGTTGGAGACATGCCCCTACTCCTGTTATTTTAGTGTTTGTGCTGGAAGCCACCTTTCAGTCATGTCAACTGACAGTATCCCAGTATACCCAATTTCCTGCTAACAGTCCTTTCATTAATTGATGATTAGAAATTATTTTTCCTATCTTGTTTGAATTTATAGCAAATCTGAGGTCGGTAGCACAAGTGGCATAATTGCCAATTTAGAAGGGAGAGTAAGTAACTTGTTGAAGGCCACAGGAAGTTAGCGGTAGTGGCACTAAGATTTAAATCTTGCTCTGTGGTGCCTTTATTTTTCCCTCTAGTCGAATTGAGTTGCTATTAATCTCTCTCTCTCTCTCTCTCTCTCTCACACACACACACACACACACACACACACACACAGTAAAAGCTTTGAAAAGCCTGTTTCTTTTTTCTTTCATGGTCACTGGTTTCTTTCAGGGCACTAATATGTTGAATTGGAGGTGCTGGTGGAGGTAGTGGGAGGGAATAAAAAACCCGGCCCAAAGAGGCCGGTAGTCAAACTTCAGTTGAAGACATAAAAGTGCTCCTCAGGTCCTGCCAAGAAGCAGGAGCCAGGACCCGGGTCATAACATGAAAAAGGGGAAAACAGAGGTTTATTTGAGTGAGGCCTGAGCCCTGGGCTTCGAGGAGAAGCCTGCTCTGTTTAGCCTGGCCTGAGTCACGGTGGAACTGCTTGCAAGGTGCCTCTGTCCTTATGAAAGATGCCACTATAGGCCCCAAGCAGAGAACCCCAGAATGGTTCTTTTCATTTCCTCTTACTTTAAATATTTATCATTAAAATAGTAAGAAAAACTATGTCTTGAATGTTTCTTCCTCCCACATTGTCACTGCTGTCTTCTTTATTTGGGGTGGTCATGCCTTGTCCCTGAATCATTGTAATGACTAGCTGTAAAAATTACTGTGCACGCCCATCTTCCCCTGGGGTACTCTGCTCATCCTGACCATGGTACTACTCTCCTACTTTAAAACTTCCCAAAACATCCAGTCAACTCAGCACAAACCCCGAGCTCCCTAGCTGGACCCTTTTCTTTACCATTCTAGCCGGGCCTGTGTCTCATATCCCCAGAGCCATGCAGTCTGGATATGTCATCTGTCCCAAAGTACCTCTTGAGTTTAGAGTGTCTCCCTTTCCTCTGGTAATCCTACTTAGTACTCACATCCAGTTTGGTGGTACATTTAGTGTCTTTTCCTGCTCCCTCTGGTATAGCCTTCAGTTGGTCCCCCAGCTCTCAGTTTCAGGACCATAGATTGCATTGCATTACAATTAGGCTTCTTGTCTACTAGCCTGCCTATAGTGGCTGGCACCTATATAAAGGAATGGAGGTGAAATTATTCCCTAAAATGTTAATAGATGTCAGAGTTTATCATTGATAATAATCTCCATAGGACAACAGTGGTTTAGCGCCTGTTGGTTACCACCAATAGCAGTTTTGTACAATTAGAATAGATTTCAAGTCATTCAGACTTGAGTCTTAATCCTGGCTTCACCAATTAAAAGCTGTGAACACGTTTCTTAATTTCTGAGCCTCTATTTTTTTAAAATCATCTATAAAATGCAGAGGAAAATACCTAGATAGGAAAACGCTAAGCACTAAAGCTGATTACAGATCCCAGGAATTATTCTGTGGGTAGGGAGTGGCGATGAGAAAATGGCCAGCCTTGGTTCCCATCTGCTTGAGCAGGCAGATACCGAATGGGCCACGTCACTGCTGACCTGTGCTTTTCTTTTCCTACCTCGTAGATCCTGACGGCTTCTTTCCTGACATACCCCACACTCAGGACCCTTAGCCTGCAGCTCCATTCAGCTGTCACGGGCAGCTACATCTCTGGCACTTACTCCATCGTCTTTGTCAACTGTCCCAATGAGCAAATTGCCAGAGATATTGCCAGGTATGGTAAAGCTCCGAGTGGAGCTGCCCGATGCTCCAGAGGTGCTGCTTTTGGGCCTACTTTTTGTGTTGCTTCTGACAACTCTGTCCATCCAGCGGTGAACTACACCTTTATTTGCTTGGGGTGATATGAGAAGCACAGCTGAATGATCCCCTGGCAGATCTTAGTGCTGGGCCTGAAAATATTTTGAGTGGGGACATACAAGGTGTATGAGACCCAGATAGATGGCTTGTCCAAGGTGTCAAGATGAGAGGACAGTGGGAGCCTGCAGGTTGGGAATTTATGTCTCCTGATTCTCCAGCTTTCTTTTTGGAGATAGTCTCTTTGTTCAGCCCCAGAGGTGTTCACTATGGAAGCAATGAGCTGACCACTCTAAGAACTTGGCAAATTTCTAGGCACAACTATAGGATGGCAGGAAAAGCACTAGATCTGTCATCAGAACAGAATGAATCTTGGCTCTGACACTGAGTAACTTTGTGGCTTTGAGTAAATTGCTTCCCTTCTTTAAGCATTAGCTTTCTGAATTATAAAATAGGATAAGACCATCTACCTTACAGGGCTGTTGTGAGGATTAAGTGCTATGAAATAAGTATAGTCCTTAACCCAGTGACTTGAATGTATTAGTTCCTCAATAAATGTTATATCTGAATTTTGCCTCTTCATACCTCTTTATATTTGCAGCTTTGAAGAGTATAGTGGGGCTAGAGGGATTGGATTTGGCTTTTTGCTCCACAGCTCAGCATTCTTGAATCTACTCTTTGGAGAATAGCCTCCAAATTGTGGTCACAGGTTAATCTAGAGTGGATGGAAGAGAGGCAAACAGGCCTACTTTCCAGGATTTGTAGGAGAGTAATGCGTAAATGTTGGGGAGGGTCCCACAAATGTTAGCTGGCAGGACCCCCAGCTTTAACCACAGAGCCCATGAAGGGACCAGGTCTTTCAATGCCAGTTTAGTGTTTTTTCTTCTCTAGCATTTAGAGTTTAGTCTGCTGCCTCTCAGTTCTGGTCCAGTTCAGCTCAGGTTCAGTTTGGTTCTGGTTAATGGCAAGGTTCTCATTGACAGACATATTCTAAACTGAAAAATCTCATGTTGGATACATGGTAAAAATCCCAAATGTTGAATCACAAGAACAAGGTTCTCGGGTATCCTTTGCTGCCAGTACCACATGTGATCTTAGACAAGTCTCTTCTCTGGGCTTTGCTCTCATGTATGGAGAGAGAATTGGCTTAGGCCAGGGTGACGAAAACTGATCCCTTCAGGCAGGTCACTTAAATGTGTGATATGGGCTGGGGCATAATAATGGTGGTGGAAAGCAACACTTAGTCTTTCTGCTGGTTGGGAAGAAAGAGCAAGGGGAGCCCTGCTGATCTGAGAGGCACACGTCATGCCTGGAGGGAGTGGACGCCACAAGCTCTAGCTAGATGCGACCTCGTAGGACTGCAAGTCCAGTGTTACAAGACTCATTTTTCAGTGAGAAACTAGATAATTATATATCCAGATGTGAGATATCTTGATGATAAATATGGGTAACAAAGTTGAGATTTTTTAAAAATGCCATGAGAACCAAACCATGCATTTAGTCTGTGAACTAGAGGTCTATGAACGTTGTGGGTTCTCAAGGCCCTAAAAGCTGTACACTTCCTTCTGCTTTCCTCAGAAGAGCATGAGCTCCTGAGCCCCTGTGACTCACTGATGGTCTTTTTAAAAGCAATTTTAATGCTTTATTTTTTATATGATACTTTATTATATAAAAATAATATATAATTTATATAATATGTAATTAATTTGTAAGAGCAAATATTTATCTAATAATAATTTATTATATAAAAATAAATAGTAATTAAAAATAAGAGTCAATAATAAAGATTATTGATTATTCATCTATTAATCTAATAAAGGAAATAATTTTAAAGTCTTCAACAATAAGTTCCTCAAGTTAATTAAGTAGACTCCAATTTATAAGTAATTTGACACCTTTCCTAGAACACAGTACAGAAACCAAAGGCCTTTTCCTCCTATGTCCCAGCAACTCCACTATAAGCCATCAAGCACCTAAATATTTCTCGGGCCTCACAAATCTACAGTTGCCCAAAGTTGGTATTTGAAAGTTTTTTTTAACATATAAATGAGGAAGCAATATCAAAGAGACTAGACCAACTTCTGATGAGCTTAATGATGTGTAGCCAAAATGAAGCTGCACTGCAGGTCACCCACATCTCCTGTTCCCTGGCTCATTTGATATAGAGAAAAAACACAATCTATGCATCCTCTTAGTGACAGAGAACACAAAGTAGCAGCTACAGTGGTGACCAGATATGTAGACAAGGGGGTTTTGAAGATAAAAATGGGAGGTGTGCAGGGGATTACCTGGTGTTGGTAGAAGGTAGACATTTTCCGGAAGCCAGATCACTGAAGGAAACCATGAAATAGGGCTCCAGAGGCCTATTCTTAATCTATCTGCCTACCTACCTATCCATCCATCCATCTGTATCTGCCTACTAGGTTTTTGTTTCTAACTTTTTTTTTAAGATTTATTTATTTATACAAGTACTGGGGTACAGGCCAGATACGCAGGAGGGTGAGAGGATTCACCAGAGACAGAACGGGAAACAGAACACGCAGAGGAATGAAATACACTGCTGAGGGGAGCAGCGGGCGAGACAGGAGCGGTCTGCTGTGCCACGAGGGTTGCTCCACGGCCGGCAGGAATAGAACCGGTGCTGCAGAGGTTGCAGACAGCTTCACAGCACTGCGCTCAACCGCCTGTGCCACCAGGAAGGCCCTGTTTCTAATTATTTATCTTGATATTTAAATTCAAAAAGTTCCAAGAGTAAAGGAACTTCTGCAGAGGTACGTGTTGGTGTCCCTCCTCCCACATCCCTGCCATAGGACTTTTTGAAGAACACAGTCCTCCCCCGTCTGCCTCCTTCTGCCCAAGGACAGGTTGCTGTGATCAGTCACCTGGGACTTCAGGCGCAGAGAGTGGAAAGGGCCTGTGAGGCATGCCACCCACTGAATCATCTCAGTGGATGATTAAGCAAGCAAGACTTGCAGCATTTGCTTAAACAAATATGTACCATATGCCTCTCTTTACAGGCAGGGATTTATTTAGCTCCTGGAACTTTCCAAGGGAATGAGGGTGGTAGTTAATGAGGAGCCTTAAATAGAGCACTGTTCAGCTTGAGACTGAAGGGAAAGTAGGTCAGTTCTCTTGGCAGCAGCTGAAGGGAGGAGGGATCAGGGAACTGGGTTTTATTTGGCAGGATCCAAACACTTCAAAGAATAGAGTACCCAACCCCCTTGACTACCTGAGACCTGAGAAAGGTGGTCAGGGACTACCTGATTCTGAGGGCTTGAGGTTTATGGCTTGGGAACACTTTGGTTTGGTAACTTGGTGGTGCTCCTGTTTCTGTGACACCTATATCAGTGCAGGAACATTTTATTGAGTTCACCATGCTCTGCACAAGAATTAGAGACTAGCAGACCAGGGGTACCAGCTTGTGGTCTGTCAAAAAAAAACAAAAACAAAACAAACATCTTAAGAGACCTGCAAAGGTGATGGCTCTACTCTTAGGACTGTGGTAGAATCCTTTACAAAAGCAAGAAGTGAAAAGCGCCTATATTTGCCAAAGACAAACACAAGAAATGATGCTTTTTTTTTTTTTTTTTTTTTTGCTTTACCTGTAGTAGAGTTGGGCATCTGCAGATCAGCAGCACTGTCAGCCAGATACACATCTGAGAGATAAAAGCAGAAGATGGTGTTGGGTGTGAACCAAGGAGTTCTTGGTGGTGAAAAGGGTTAGAAAGCACTGACTGCCCCAGTCCTCTCATTGTACAGCAGGAGTCAGTCTGAAAGACAGAGGGTCCGCCTACCTTGGATAGGTGCTCAAATACTCCTGAACTGAAGGAACTTGCATAATGTCACTGCCATCCTCCTGCAGGGCCCAGAGGGAATCTAGGCCATCTTCTCATCTAATGTTATTAATTCCCACCACCTAAGTCAAACAGGGCCATCCTTAAAACTGCCTTCTCAGCTGCAGTTGAGGGACTTATAAATAAGTCTGGGAGGGACTTATAAATAGCTGTCTTCAGAGCTCCGTGCACAGTGATTATGGCTTGTGTTGTCTATCTGATTGGCTATCTACTTAGACTTGGGTTTCCTGGATAATTCCCAGAAACTCCTGTTCCCCAACCCTTTTCTTGAGATTCTGGACACTTAACTCGGCAACTGTTTCCCTCTTTGCTTTAGGGCTGTCCTGGATAAGAAGCTGGCTACCTCTGTGAATATCCTGCCTAAGGCATCTTCCCTGTGAGTTTTGGTCAGTGGAGGGGTGTGGGAGTGCTAAGTGGGGTCGTGGCTGGGGGAAAGAACATTGAATCAATGGGGAATTGTCAAAGAACAACTCAGAGGTATTTAAGTAATCAGCTCACTGTTGATTTGTATTCAGAGGAAATCAACCAGTGGATTTATATCACCCAACAGAAGCAACAGTAGGCCGTTTATAGAGAGGGCAGGACAAACTACAGTTTAGGGACAGTGAATCTTGTTCACACACACTGTTTAAATCACCTAGCTTGCTGCTAGGAAAGATAGACTGGGTATTCCATCTCTGAGAAAGCTGACCAGGGAGAGTGAAAATAACTGCCATTTGTGTTAGATTCCCCAGAAATTTGAGAGTTGAGCATGAGTGACAGGCTTTTATTGTGCACTCCCTGCCTTTCATTTCACTCACACTTCACTTTAGTTACACCTGTGTGCACCATTGCCCTCACTGAATATTTCAGCATCCCTGTGCTAGCATGGAGGGTTTGTCTTGTGCTTTAATCTCTCTGATCATCTGAATAGAGAAAGGTGGGAGGAAGCGAGGAAGAGAAAAATAAATAATCGAGAGGGCGGAGCAACATGGCGGCGAGGAGACTCTGCGAGTAAGATCTCCCATTAAAAAAAGTTAATAGGGAGGAAAAGCGGCAGGTCCCAGTGAGAAGTGGGACACGGAAGATAAACGGCTGACGCCAGCGAACTGCCCGAAGAAGAAAGTGGCCATAAAAGAGGACTAGAAGGGAGGGAAGCGCAGAACCCTGCTCCCCTCCCCCGCCCACAGAGGCGGCACTCTCCGACCGGCAGAGAGGAGGAAACAACAAACCAAAACGGCCCACAAGAACAAACGACGCAGCAAGCGGGACTGTGAGTGGAAAGGAACTATTGCAGCCACCACACCCCGTGAACGGGAGCTGAGGCGAACCCTGCAGGATCCGCCGCGGCGGTGAGCGAACGGCTCCGGGCGCCATTAGAGAAGAACAAAGACCCCGGGAGACGCGCACACAGCCCGGGCTGCCGGTAAGCTTGCGCAGGAAACGCTGCGCGCTCGGGGAGCTTGAAAAGCAAGTGCAGACCTGGATCGCGGCTGCCCAGGTCCCCGCGCCTGCGACCTAGGCTTGCGGGGAGATGACCTAGGCTTGCGGGGAGACGCACGGAGGTCCTCACTGAGGTGAAGGTCCCTCCCTGAGTGAGCAGGAACCAGGCGCCCAGGCACGGGAGCTGTGCAAAAGGCGCCATTCCCGCGCCACTGAACTGGGCTACAGCCCGCGTCCTGGAACTGAGGGCTTTGAACTGAGACCCGGGGCACGAAAATTCGGGGCGTGGGTCCTCCACGACGGTGGGGCACAAGGCAGACACAGCACCCCAAAGCTGTTGAGGTGTACCCTACCATTCCCGCTCTGTTCTCTGTCCCACGGGGTGGGGGGAGGCGAAAAACAGCCCCCCAAGGACAATAGGAGAGATCTCTGGCACCACCTAGCGACCAGGAAAAAAAAAGTCACTAACACCCTATAAAACAGGACATTTCTTAAGACTGCTTGAAAAGGGCAGAAGGTTTCTGGAGGACCCAGTGGCCAGCCGGGAAGTTATTCCACGCCAGGCCCCTTCCGACCAGCAGTCTGAGCCCACAGAGGGAGCAGGCACCCACGTCCGGGGCAGACCGGGTGCGCAGAAGAGTGTGCCTGAAACCGGAGGCGCAGGGACTGCATCCCGCTTCGCCATTTGAGAACAGGGACATTTCTTCAGTAAAAACTGCCTAAAACCAGCAGAAAGCTCCCCCAGAAGACAGAGATGGCTCCTGGAAGAGCCAGAGGGGAGCGGAGAAGTTCACCCAAGATGTCAGTCAGTCCGAGCAACACAGTGTCCCAACGCATACGACAAATTAGAAAACAGACAGTAGGGAGTAGAAGAACCACACGCAACCTAAAAACTCCTCAGGAAAGAAGCACACCACAAAAAGAAAACCACCCCCCAGATTGCAACGACAGCAACTTGGAAGAACTTCTGAGCCTTCCAGAAAGAGAATTTAAAATTGCCATGATTAAAAAAGTGATAGATCAGAAGAAGGAAATTGAGTCCCTAAAGAGGGAAGTAAGAGAAATGCAGGAGATCAAAGAATTAATGGAGGAACTAAAGAACTCTGGGAAAAGCAATGAAAGCAGAATAGATGAAATGGAAGAACGAATAAGTAATCTTGAAGACACAGAAATAAAAAGAACCAAAACAGAAAAGGAAAGAGAAGTACGAAGGAAAAAGAATGAAGAAAGACTTCGGGAACTATCTGACTCCATGAGGAAAGGAAATATAAGAGTTATAGGAATTCCAGAAGGAGAGGAGAGAGATGTAGGAACAGAGAAAATATTCATGGATATAATTGAAGAGAACTTCCCAAATGAGAAGAAGGAGCTGAAAATTGATATACAAGAAGCAAGAAGAACACCAAACTTCCACGACGAAAGGAAAAACACAGCAAGACACATAATAGTAAAGCTCCCAAGAATCCAGGACAAGGAAAAAATAATGAAGCTGACAAGAGGGAAGAAACAGATAACATTCAAAGGAAAACCAATCAGGCTGACATCAGACTTCTCTGAAGAAACACTACGGGCAAGGAGAGAGTGGAGGGACATAGTCAACAGACTCCAAGAAAACAGATGCCAACCAAGAATACTCTATCCCGCAAAGCTCTCTTTCCTCCATGAAGAAAGAATATGGACCTTCCCAGACAAAGAGAAACTCCGGAATTTCATTGCGACTAAACCCCCACTCCAAAAAATACTACAAGGAATCCTAAAGCCAGAACCTCAGAGGGACGAATAACAACGAAAGAAGACCAAAAAAAAAAAAAAGTTATTAAAAGAATAAATAAATAAAATCAAAGGAAAGACAAACATAATGGCAAATATAGATGCTAACATATCAATATTAACTCTAAATGTAAATGGACTAAACTCTTCAATAAAAAGACACAGAGTTGCAGCCTGGATTAAGAAACAAAAACCAACCTTTTGCTGTCTCCAGGAAACACATTTAGCTACAAAAGATAAAAATAGGCTCAAAGTCAAAGGATGGAAAACAATCCTACAAGCAAATGGGCCAAAAAAGAAAGCAGGAACAGCTATACTTATATCAGATAAAACAGACTTCAAACTCAAAAAAATAAAAAGAGACCCCAATGGTCACTACATTATGATTAAGGGGACAATACTTCAAGAAGAAATAACACTCATTAACATATACTCACCAAACGAAAGAGCACCAAAATATATCAGACAACTGTTGTCCTCTCTGAAAACAGACATCAGAGAAAACACATATGTAGTGGGAGACTTCAACACACCACTATCAACAATGGATAGATCAACAAGACAAAAAATAAGTAAAGAAACTAAAGCTCTAAATAAGGACCTAGAGCATTTGGGCTTAACAGACATCTATAGAACACTAAACCCAAAAAAAACGGAGTACACATTTTTCTCAAGCGCACACGGATCATTCTCCAGGATCGATCACATACTGGGGCACAAGACAAACATCAACAGATACACCAAGATTGAAATCATACCAACCATCTTTTCTGACCACGAAGGCATCAAACTAGAAATAAATCATAAAAAGAAGGCAAGGAACTATCCTACCTCATGGAGATTAAAAGCCACACTACTGGAAGACCACTGGACTAACGAGGAGATCAAAGAAGAAATTAAAAAATTCTTTGAATTGAATGACAAGGAGGACACCAATATCCTAAATGTATGGGATGCAGCAAAAGCAGTAATAAGAGGAAAATATATAGCAATAGAAGCTCACATCAAAAAACAAGAAAGAACTCAAAGAAACAACCTAATCTCGAAGCTCAAAGATCTAGAAAAAGAACAACAAAAAAACCCCAGAACCAGTAGAAGAAAAGAAATAATAAAAACCAAAGCAGAAATAAATGAAATTGAAACTAAAAAAACAATCCAAAAGATCAATGAAACCAAGAGCTGGTTCTTTGAAAAAATAAATAAAATAGACAAACCCCTAGCCAGGCTCACAAAGGAAAAACGGGAGAAAGCACAAATACACAGAATCATAAATGAAAGAGGAGAAATCACAACGGACACAGCAGAAATCAAAAGAATAATCAGTAACTACTATGAACAGTTATATGGAAACAAGTTCAACAATCTAGAGGAGATGGACAAATTCCTACAACTCTACAATCACCCAAAGCTAGATAAAGAAGAAATAGAACACCTAAACAGACCAATTACAAGCAGCGAAATTGAAATGGTAATTAAAAACCTCCCCAAAAACAAAAGCCCAGGACCTGATGGATTTACAAATGAATTCTACCAAACATTCAGAGACGAATTAGTGCCTATCCTTCACAAACTCTTCCAAAAAATTGAGAAGGAAGGGACAATACCAAACACGTTCTATGAAGCCAATATTACACTAATACCAAAACCGAATAAGGACAACACAAAAAAGGAAAACTATAGGCCAATCTCCCTAATGAACACTGATGCAAAAATCCTCAATAAAATTTTAGCTATCAGAATCCAACAATGTATCCATAAGATAATTCACCACGACCAAGTTGGATTCATTCCAGGGGCACAAGGATGGTTTAACATCCGAAAATCAATCAACGTTATCCAACACATCAACAAAAAGAAATATAAAAACCATATGATAATATCAATAGATGCTGAGAAAGCTTTCGACAAAGTGCAACACCCATTCATGATAAAAGCCCTTGAAATTCTTGGGATACAAGGAACATACCTCAACATCATAAAGGCCATCTATGACAAGCCAACAGCCAGTATCATTCTCAATGGTGAAAAGCTGAAAGCAATTCCATTAAGATCTGGAACAAGACAAGGATGTCCACTCTCACCACTGCTTTTCAATATAATACTGGAAGTCCTAGCCAGAGCAATAAGACAAGAGAAAGACATCCAAGGAATCCAAATAGGAAAAGAAGAAGTCAAACTATCACTATTTGCAGATGATATGATAATATACATAGAGAACCCCAAAATCTCCACAGAAAAACTAATTCAACTCATCAATCAATTCAGTAAAGTGGCAGGATACAAAATCAACACGCAAAAGTCAGTAGCCTTCCTATACACAAACAATAAATCTGAAGAAGAAGAAATAAAAAAAACCACCCCTTTTATTATCGAAACAAAAAAAATCAAATATTTGGGAATAAATCTAACAAAAGAGGTAAAGGACCTATACAAAGAAAACTATAAAACACTGTTAAAAGAAATAGAAGAAGACACAAAGAAATGGAAAGACATCCCCTGCTCATGGATTGGAAGAATAAACATTATTAAAATGGCCATCCTACCAAAAGCAATATACAGATTCAATGCTATTCCAATCAAAATCTCAATGGCATTCTTCAAAGAAATAGAACAATTATTGATGAAATTCATATGGAATCACCAAAAACCCCGAATAGCCAAAGCTCTACTGAAAAAAAAAGAAGGAAATGGAGGCATCACACTCCCAGACTTCAAACTATACTACAAAGCCATAATCATCAAAACTGCATGGTATTGGAACAAGAACAGACATACAGACCAATGGAATCGAATAGAAAATCCAGAAATAAACCCACAGATTTATGGTCAACTAATCTTTGACAAAGGAGCAAAGACTATGCATTGGAGCAAAGAAAGTTTGTTCAATAAATGGTGCTGGGAAAACTGGGTCGCTACATGCAAAAGAATGAAGCTTGACCACTACCTCGCACCATACACAAAAATCAACTCAAAATGGATTAAAGAACTAGACATAAGACCTGAAACCATAAAATACATAGAAGGAAATATAGGCGAAACACTACGGGATTTGCACATCAAAGACATCTTTACAGACACATCACCCAAAGCAGTGATAGTGAAGAGAAAGATAAACAGCTGGGACTACATCAAATTAAAGAGCTTCTGCACAGCAAAAGAGACAATAACAAAAACAAAGAGAAACCCCACCAACTGGGAGAACATTTTTGCACCCAACACTAATGATAAAGGACTGATCACAAAAATCTGCAAAGAGCTGATGAGACTCAGCAACAACAAAGAAAATAATCCAGTCAAAAAATGGGCAGAAGAGCTAAAAAGAAACTTCTCTGAAGAGGAAATGCAAATGGCCAACAGACATATGAAAAAATGTTCAACATCACTTGTAATCAGGGAAATGCAAATCAAAACTACCATGAGATACCATCTCACACCAGTGAGAATGGCACATATTAAAAAAACTAGCAACAACAAATGTTGGCGAGGATGTGGAGAAAAAGGAACTCTTGTGCACTGTTGGTGGGAGTGCAAACTGGTCCAACCACTATGGAGAGCTGTGTGGAGATTTCTGGACCTACTAAACATAGAGCTTCCATATGATCCAGCAATTCCACTCCTAGGTATTTACCCAAAGGACACAGAAACATCAATTCCAAAGAGCACCTGCACTCCTATGTTTATAGCAGCACTGTTTACAATAGCTAAGCTTTGGAAACAACCCAAATGCCCAAAAATAGATGACTGGATCAAGAAGATGTGGTACATATATACCATGGAATATTACTCAGCATTCAAAAAAGATAAACACATGCAATTTGCAGCAACATGGATGGCACTGGAAGGGATCATGCTCAGCGAAATAAGCCAAAAAGAAAAAGAAAAATACCGGATGGTCTCACTCATAGCAGGAATCTAGAAAACTTAAATAAGGGACCAGGAAAATGAATATAAGAAAGTGAAAATCAAAATCAACAAAAAACTATGAACCAGAGACACTTTTTGGGGGGTGGGGGGCGGGAGGGGAAGGATTGGGGTCAGAATGGGGCGTTTGCAATTGTATGGGGGAATATAAAAATAAAATTTAATATTTTAAAAAAAAAAAAAAAAGAAAAATAAATAATCTGCATTAAAAGTTAAAACAGAAAAGTGCTGTCTAATTTAAGCTCCTCACTCCCTCCAGTGGTGTCATTCCCTCTTCCTCTGTAGCTGTGGCCCCCAAATCTGGCTCTGCTTTAACTCTGTTCTAGATCTGCTCAATATCCTGGATGGTGGGGCTTGGGCTCTGAGTTTTTCATAAGTTATGTAGGTGAGTCACATAAAGCTTGTGTGGGAACCAGAAGAGAATTTTAGCCTAGCGTTCCCTTCAGCTGTCCATCCTCCTTCACAATTGATCCTTTTACCTCAGCAATGTGAGACAGAGAAAGCCTATGTGGCCTAGGTTGTTTTAGATTTTATTTAGGCCACTGAAGATCATTCTCAGGACAAATTTCTTTTTCATCCTATGACGCTGTTCTCATACTCTTCTGAAGATTGTTGCTGGCTTTATTTTTAACCTTTGGACTTGTTTCCTTATCTTATAAGCCTCCCTTCATCTGTGAAGCCTACTTGCCTTTTTATTTATCCATTTGTGGGCACTCAACTTTGAGAGCCAGTGATGCGAGTAGCACCAGTGCAGTGGGTAGAGCGTGACCTGGAAACAGTTGAGTATAGGATGAGCATTGAAAGGCTGGAGATGCCCGGTTTGGAGGAGAGAAAACCTAGGAGTTTCTGCAGGGTTGTCTGAGGTAATTCTTCAGGTGGAGGTTGAAAAAATAAGTGGATGGCAAATGCTGGCACACCCTAAAAACCATCTCATGTGAAAGCCTTTAGGGTAGGTCAACTTCTTCAAGAGATGGTGAGCCTCTTACTTCCAGGAATGTACGGTGTGTCACAAGCAGGTATCAGAATGGTTGCACTATATGAGCTGTGAGGCCTTGTCTAACTCTGTACTGTTTTATATGAGATTGAAAAGATTTTAAAGTTTCCACCTGAGGAGAGTCACCAAATTGGGCCAGGTTTGACATTTGATTAGACTTGTCTTGTGAACATTATAATTTGGTTTTGTTTTTCTCGCCAGGTACTTTTGGAATGGAGAGATAGAAGAAGCCACTGAGATCCTGTTGGTGAGTGAGAAGGGAGGTATAGGGCAGATCCTTGAAAGAGAAAATATAAGACCAGACCTCTTTCCCAAGTTCTCTCCCAGGTTCCAATTAAGAATGAGCAAAGATCAGCTGATTGAGGTTCTTGTCCCACATACGATGCCCTAGGTTAACCAGTGAGCTTGCGGCAGGGCCTGCCGACCTGGAGGAATTCTGCTCTAAATGGCTGGATGATGAGCAGCTGCAGTGCCAGGCCGAGTTTTTAATAAAGCAGTGGTTTTTTTTTTTTTCTTTTATAGTTAATAAAGACAAAGACTTCCAGGGTCCATGTGCTGTCCAGCTACATCAGGTAATGCCAGCATTTCTTCTCCATGGGGACATGCTGGGGACTAAGTGAGTGAGCTTGGAAGACAGGAGATCTAGAGTCCAGTCACCAATCTTCATCTACCCTGCATGTGCCCCTGTAAAATCAGAGGCTGGAGTGAGTGAGTTTAAAGCAGAAGTTCTCAAAATTCACTTAAGAATATCATTGACAAAGTGGTGAAAATCATTTTACCACTTTGAGCAAAAAGGTCTCAGGATCACTTTACACTTTCAAAAATGACAGAGGACCCTAAAGAGCTCTGTTTGTGGGGGTTATATCAAAGTTTACTGAATTAGAACTTTTAAAATATTTTTAGTTCATTTAAAGTAACAATAAAAACTATTACCTATTAACATAAATAATGCATTTTATGGAAAGTAATCATATTAAAAATAACAACAGAAGAGTGAGAAGAATGGCATCATTTCACATTTTTGCAAAATCTGACTGTAGCAAGGCTAGATCTTTTCAGAAGCATCTTTAATATGCTTGTGGCAGTGATAAATTCAGGTTTTCTTTTCTTTTTTAATATTTATTTATTTATATAAGAACTGGGGTACAGGCCAGATGCGCGGGAGGGTGAGAGGATTCACCAGAGACAGAGCGGGGAGCAGAACAGGCAGACTGACGAAATACACTGCTGAGGGGAGCAGCAGGGAGACAGGAGAGGTCTGCTGCACCATGTGGGACTCTCGCCGGCCGGCTGGGATAGAACCCACACTGCAGAGGCTGCGGACAGCTTCACAGTGCAGCGCTCAACCTCCTGCGCCACCAGGGAGGCCCTAAATTCAGGTTTTCGAAACTCAGTTTTTCCTTGAAAACAAGAATTTTTTCACTGGCAACAAATTATATAAATTGTCCTCATTTGAGTAATGCACTTACTCTGTTGATACTTCAGAAAATATCTAATACTGAAATCTGAAAGTAAAAATGGTGTTTCCTAAAAAAAAAGTCTAGTTTAGCTTGTGACTCAGACAAGTTTAAGATAACAGTGAACTTAACTATACAGTTAAGTACTTTGTATACTTCCCATTTTGCCACACAAAATAATAAAATATAATTCTTAATAATTTCTACCACTTTGTCAAGGATATTCTTAAGTGAATTGGATTTTTTTTTATATGCACACATGTGGCAGTGAAGATTATGGTATCAGCAGGGAGGGGCGCGTGCTTTTGTGTGGTCATGTGCTCAGGGGTCAGCAGTTCAGCCCCTTACAGCTTTTACATCATCAGTGTAAATGTCAATATCTAGAAAGGATAAATAGCAGACTAGTGTTATCATGAAAATAATCTCGGCCTCATGAGTCTCCTGAGTCTTGGAATCCCAAGGATCCATGGTTTACTTGGAGAACCTCTGGTCTAAGTCCTCATCACTCAAGGTGTGGTCCCGGAATAACTGGATTGCCTGGAGGCTTGCTAGCATTGCGCAAGCTCATGCTCACCCAAAACTGTTGAGTCAAGCTACAGCTTAACAGGTGATTCCTTAAAAGCTTGAGAAACCCTGGTCTAAAATAGGGATCTTGGCAGACTACACACTATAATCACTTGGGACATTTTTCAAATTTCCCATAGAAGCTCCATCTCAGATTCTTCTGGAGTGGGGCTCAGGGGTGGTGTTCTTCAGAAGTACCCAGACTGACTCTGCTGTGCCGCCAGGGATGTAAGTCATGTATCTGGATAAAACCCTTTTTTATCACTTCCTAGGGAACCAGGATCTGTACTATCTGGCTACACCCATGTCTCAACTCTAGAACCACCTTTGGTAGAACCAGCACTGTGGAGAAATGACAGCTTAATTGGTGAGGGACAACTTTAGGGTTAAGAAAGCAAACCCCAGAACTTGACCTCCAGGGTTAAGTTCTGGCTTCTCCACTAGCTAATTGTAGCATAAGTGTTTGCAGATTACTTACACTTTATGTGCCTCAGTTGCCCCTTCTGTAGTGTGGACTGTACCTGCGTTGGGATGCACATTGGAGTACACTGATGTGAAGTGTACATCATCTCAGCGCGAAGTGTTGAAAGTATCTTATTCTGTGTATCTGAATACTGTATTCAAACATATGGTGAATGTCTGCTTATAAAAATACATAACACTGGCCCAGATGTCCTTGAAATAACTTAAACAAATGCATTATACTCAGGTACTGGATAAAACTACCCACTTCTCCAGACATTTAAATGCCATGTTGTGATTTACTAAACATGCCATCTCGTGAAAACTTTATAATGCAACATTCAGAGGAAAGGAAGTAGAGGATTGTTACCCCTGTTTGGCAGATGGGAGACTAAGGCCTAGGGTCTCATGTTTCCTTGGTGTAGAAAGTATAGAAAGATACCTTGTGTGCTGAGGGCCAGGCAGAAGAAACAGGCAGAAGGGATTTGCCTGAGGATTTCCTGAGGATTTGGAGGGTCAAGGAAAAGATCCCTTGGAAAAAGTCAGTGGTTGAGTTGGGCCTTAAGATGTAGAGAGGCTTTCGACTGATAACAGGAGCAGAGAGAACTTGCTAGGTAAAGAAGAGAATACAGAATTACTGGGGAAGGGGAAGGGGTCTCGTGGGGGAAGGCACAGTGATGATGTGGGATAATCAAGAGAGTAGCTGACATTTAATGAATGTATACAAGTGCCAGGATCATGCGTGCAGTATAGTGCTTATTACATTCTTTCATTTACTCCTCAGCCATCCAGTCAGGTCGGTGCTGCCCTACCTGCTTCTGTAGGGTCTTTAGAGAAATGAAGTGATTTCTCCATGGTTTCAAAGCTAGGAAGAGACTAGTAAGACCTAGAACTTGAAACTGCCAGTGATCTCTAAAGCCATCTGTCCCAACTCCCCACTAGGTGCAGGTGGGAAAGAGGACCTGGAGTGGCAGCCATGGGGCTGATAGGTGGCTGTGTAGATTGCAGAGGGCCTGGCATGAGGCTGACCAGTTGGATTTGAGCCCATGGGCTGATTTTAATCATGGTTATTCACAAGATTTTTCTTTCTTTCCAAAGGTTGGTACATCCTTTTGAGATCCCAGAGGTCTTCAGTCTTCCCATGGACCAAGGAGACATGCACTATTTAAAGTGGCTGGAGGAGGGCATGGGGGAGGACTGAGCACCCTGCTCGCTGCCTCTAGCCTCATCAGTGTACTCCGGGGAAGGGGATGCCTCTTCCTGCCACCTAGCTTCCCTGGATTCCATGTTTCTGTCAGTGCAGAGGAACTAAATAACTGTGGAGGCTGAAGGTTGGAGGCTCCTGTGGCTGAAAGACCCCAGTGGGACTTACCCTGAGTGCTTCATGCTTAAAGGTGCCCCCAGGGGAGGGAAGACAAGGATGGTTGTATATAGGGACTCGGGAGGTAAGTGGCAGTGAGGGTAGGTTTGTCATCTTCTCTACAGTCACTGGACCTTCCTCAGGGTCCAATGGATGCAACTACCCTCCTGCTTCTCATGAGTGTGGGTCTGTGGCCTGTTCACCCGGGTTGGTAGGTTGAATGCCGTCTTCTAGGGGACTGGCAAATGCTTTATGCAAAAGGATGAAATGCTAATAGTTGAATTTTGGGAACACACACACACAGGATTATTTCTTCTAAAGGTGGTGTATAACTCCTGAGTCCTCAGGAAGCAGGACTGGGAATGGCCTTTCATGAATGTGTGTAGGACAAGGGAATATACACAGCCTCATGGACTCGGGAGTAAGTCTTGACCCCTAGCCTGAATGTGACCCATTAGAGGGTGCTGGTGCCTGGCTCAATGGAGGCGCAGGTTTTGCACCTACCATACTCACCTTTTCACTTGAGCCTTGAACCTAAGCCTTCTATGGCAGGAAATAACCCTGGGAAATTGCTAGATCAGTCTTTCACACTTGCTCACAGAACCCAAGTGCTGACAGGAGGTGCCTTGGGATTGTGGGGGTCGGGGGCTCCCCACTCACACTGCAGCTGGTACTACTGTGCTGCTTTGATTTTTATGTTGTGAGCTTCAAGATTGCATTTGTTTTCGTTTTATCATTTTTCTTGAAAGCTTATAAGCCAGTTGTCTAAGCTAGTCTCCTCTTTATAGATTATTATAGGAAACTCAAGGATTTCAATAACTAAGCTTTCTCTACAGTCCACAGGTACTTTCTAATTTATGGAATTGGCAAAATCCAACTTTTTCCTTGAACTTTCATGTGGGATGAATTCCAAGGAGATTTTTCTTTCTCGCTGTAGCCTTCATTGGGTCATTTTCGTGCCTGCCACACATATTAGAAACTCTTTCTTGGTGGCCTTGGCCTCAGTGACACAGCTGACTATAGGAGGGGTGAGGATGCCAGCTCTCCCTGCCAGGTCCCATCCTAGATTCTTAACATTATTTGCTTTCCATGCCTCACCTCATTGCTATCTTCATTTTGCAGATGAAACCTAAGATCAGAGAGCATCAGATGCTTAAAACAAGTGACAGAGTTAGGCTTTGAGCCCACGTCCGATGCTCTCAGTGCCTCTTTTTCAAAGAGGTTGGATATAACCTTCATTGGCCAAAGAGCCACCGAACCTGCTGTAGCTACCTGTAAAGGGAGAGTTATTAGTTCTTAAAACTTCTATGTAGTCAGTTGGTCTGGCATTTAAAAATACATTGCACTGTTTATCTTTCCCCACAGATCAGGAGACTGGTAATAGCATCTTCATTCTACAGACCAGGGAACAGAGAGGAGTTCAATGATTTTTAGGCTCTATGTGCCTCCAGTACATGATTTGAACCCTCTCCCGCACCTCCTCCCAGAATGCTGTGGAAGCTGGGGCCAGGGCCCAGATTAGTGTTTGCATGTATGAACTCCTTCCCAGCATTTCTCTTTCTGAATCCAGCATCCCCAGAAAAAATCAGGTGAGAAGTGAGAAAAAGCATTATAATTATCTGTGAATACTAATGTTTAAAAGTACAGAGATGTTACTGGTTTAGAGAAATCCACCTTCAGCAAATAGAAAATAAGTACAAAGCACTGACGTGCAGAGTTAAGGTGAAGAGAACCAAGACAGGAGCATGTAGAGAGACAGACTAGCACTAAATCAGTCTCGCTTGGGATCACTGCCTTGTCACAAGCGCGTGAGCATGCTGTTGCCCTGCCTGCTGCAAACCGTGTTATTCTTGGAAATAAGTTTTTACACATAGTTTTCTTTATACAAATCCTTTGAATAGTGTTCAAAGAAATAAGTTTGGGGAACAAAATAAATACTGATTTGACAATTTTGACCCGATTCTGTGTACTGTTAACCTTGCTAGGATATCTGAATATTATCCCATGATGAACATTCCCTGATGTTTCCTAAAATTTAAATATTCCGTATAGGCTACAGTTCTTCGTAACTACTACTAAGCATAGAATTCCTGTTTGTTAAAACAGTGTTTTCAGATATCTATAATGAGGAGAGAGTGTGAAGAATGAAATATTTTAATAACTTAAGACTGAGCGAATTACTGAGATTTCTAATATCTTGCTTCTAAATTCCAAAGCTAAAGATCTGTACATACTGAGCCAAACCACAAAGCACCAGGCACGCTCCAGCCCAGGGAGGACCACTGATCTCATGGTAGCACTGGGGCTGGGACCCAGGTCTCTTGGCACCTGTGCCATCCACTCCAGTCCAGTTCATTGATTCAGCCCCGAGACTCAACTTCCCCTCTCCCCTGGCTCCCGCTATGGTTTTGTTCTGAGGGCAGTTAAAGGGCTGAAGCAGAAGGAATGAGAGAAGAAAGTGGGAGCCACATTAAGGCACACTTTGGGCCACATTAAGGGACAGGCCCCTGAAACTGCAGAATGTTGAACCCATGACCTTCACCTCCCTGTAGCTGGCTTTTCCTAGCCCTTCATGTCTCTTTTTCCCCAAACTGCCTCAGGTTTAGGAAAATTTAGTCACATGTAGATGTGATGGGTTCCCTCTCCACCGAGGAGCTAGCTGAATACGGCAGGGGTTACCTAGCACTGAGGGCAGAAACTGAAGCCCGAAGCCTGACCAAAGTGGGCAGGCTACAAGCAGCAGAGCCAGGTCTAGAACGCATTTCCTACTTCTAGGATTGCGTTGCCTGTGTGCCGACTATGCAAAATTTGATAGTGCCTGCACTTAACTATTTAATAGGCTCTGTTTCTAACGTTCCACCTTTCACTTCTTTGTGGCCTTCAGCTAATGTTCTTGTCTCCATGGGTCAGGTACTCACAGTAGAAAAAGATTCCACATCCTCCTGTGGTAAGGGGGAGAACACTGCCGAGAATGGTAGGCAGTGAGGGGGTGGTATGGTGGCCAGAGAGGGGATGGGTCCTGCCATTCCTCCTCTACCTTCAGGAAACCAAGACAAACCAGAGCCAATTCCTCCTGCCATCCAACAGCTGAGAGTTCTCTAGGGGGAACGCCTGCAATTTTCCAAAGGGAGTTTTTAAATAGTAAATCAGACACATTAATTATAACTTTAATATAACAAATGTTATTAAAAGCAGCAATTCAAAACCATAAATCTTCTCAAAGGTGCACAAGGTTATCATAAGGTCAGTTGGCAGTAACACAGCTATTTTCTGGTATGAATGAAACACCGGGTGGAGTCAGGGTGACCTTGTTAGTAGGCCTTATGCTGACTTCCCGAGGGGGGGAGGCACTTGCCCCACCCCTTCGCCTCTTCAAGCCCAGAGCTCCTGGGGCCCAACAGGCAAGGGGCTGATGCCCTGACAGCCCTGCTCCTTGGTGCATCCTCAGAAGCCCAGAAAGGCTTTGGGAGGCTGCTGTGCTCCAAAGGCAGGCTGGAAGCCCTGGCGTGGAGCCCAGGTCCCACGCTCCTACTGTACTGGGGTCTGGTTTCTCAGCTCCCCTTATACCTGGCCCCCCTTGGAGGTTTCAGTGGCAGCAGCGGTGGGGCAGAGAAGGGGAGATGGTGCCCAAACCCACTCGTCCCTACCTGGCCCATGCCAGGGAAGGGAGGGAAGGGAGTGGGCCATGCCCAGGAGCCAGGTCCCTCTTGAAAGGCACTAGAGGAGCTGAGGTTTGAGGCAAAGGGCATCTGAACTATCCCAGGGATGCCGAGTGCACACAGGTGTGGAGGGGTCAGCCTAGTCACAGGAGAACCTCACTGTTCTGCCACCTTTACCTTGCAGCTGTCAACCTGGCAAATCCAGCCAAGCTGGTGGCCCAGCAGCAGTTGGCAAGGCCAGTCCCATGTGGTGCAGTGACCCCACCCCCCCAACTCCCCAGTCAAGGCACTTCTTTCCATTTTCCAATCTAGTGAGTCAGTTTCTAATATCTGGAAGCAGCAAAAATGAGGGGTTCCCTTCCCTTCCCATTTTTGGTTTCCATCCAGACAGGTTCAAGTTTGAATGCTGGTTCTAGGAATTCTACTTATACTCCCACTGATAAAAGCTTCTCATTGAGGGGACTGATGGACAGAGAGGACCTTTAAAAACCCCAACCTGTCCCAAAAATGATTGTCAATTTTAGGGCTGGGCAAGGGATGAAAGGAAGAGGGTTGGGGACCCCTGTGCTTCCCTGTAGGGTCAAAGCTGGTTTATGAGTTCGAAGAAGGGGGCAGAGGCTGGAATTTCACATTCAGTGGCAGCACAAGGCTGTGGAAGAGGGAGGGCTGCAGGAAGAACAGGACCAGGCTGGCCTCGGGGTGTATGTGGGGTGTGTGAAAGCACACATGGAGAGAAGCTTGTGGGAGTGAGTGTGTATTGGTGTGTGTGGGGCTCTGGGGTGAGGTCTGTCGAGGGGGCAATTGGCATTACTTGGCTTCCTGTCCTCTCACTTCCTCTCCCTTTCCCACAGGATTGTAAGGCTAGGCCCAGCTCCTAAGCTGGCAACTAAAAGGGGGTGTGACCAAGGAAAGGACCAATTCTGGGACCTCAGAAGCTGACACTGCAGCCCTGACTCTCAGCCTTAATAACTGGACTCTGGTGCCTTCTGCAGTAGACCCAGCCTCAGATCCTGATGGTCCAGGGTCCCAGCGACACTGGCTTCCACGGAGGCATCCGCCCTCATTTGCCCCCTCTTTCTAAGGGCAGGTGGATTATCAGGCTGGTGGGTGAGGCCTCCTCTTGCCTACCTTCACCCGTGCTTTCTCAAAAGTTTCTGTCTCACAGTGCGCCCCTGGGAGCACTGATGCCTCACAGCCAGGTGCTCATGACAGCCACACACACATAGGATGTGTGATCACACCCAGAGGGGGAGAAAGTGCTAACGGGACACAGAATTGGGGGACAGAGAGAGATTCAGGCTTCAAGAAAAGGTCACAAACCCAGAGGAGCAGATACCCAGTTTGAGGGGGTGGGGAGTGTGTGGGGACACTGAGAAATGGCAGTGAGACCTGGGAGACACAGGACAGGCGTGAGCAGCCTGAGGAGGCCTGAGGCAGAATTGGCGCTGCAGAGGCGCAGGCCTTGCTGGCCGGACAGGGAAGAAGAGCCTTCTAGGCACTTGCTGTCTTGTGTCCCTCTCCGCTCCAGCCTGCAGAGAGCCGGGGAGCCTGTGGTTTCCACAGTCTCACCCTTGGTTTCCCAGGCTCTTAGCATCCCCTGGGGGCTAGTCAGTAAGGGGTGGTCCCTTCCCACTCCACCAGGTACTGAACCTTGCCCTCGGGCGTGACTCTCCGAGCCAGCACCTGGTACTTCTCCCCACAGGCCAACCGCCCAGCCGCACCAAAGTAGTTGGTGATGGATGACTTGAGGTGGGACAAGGAAGAGTCATCTTCACTGATGCTCTCGAAGGTGTGGCTGTCGATGCCTTCCTCTGCCCGCTCTGGGCCCGAAACCCCCTCTGCACTGCTGTCCGAGGGGCAGCGTCCACCCGGCTCAACTGCCCGCCGCTTTGCCCGCAGTGGCAGGTATGCTTTGGCTGCCAGCTTCCTCTTCCGGCTGCCCACTGTCCGCCTGTGTTAGGAGGGGAAGGGGCGGATGATGGGCATGAGATGCGATCATTCTAACAGCAGTGCCGCCTCTCCCTGAGCACACTCTGAGGCCCTGGGCATGGATCAGCCTCTCAACACCCCAGAGGAGGCTCCAGAGAAGCCACAGCTGGGAGGGGCAGGGCCAGGGTGCAAGAAGTGTCCAGCTCGGAAGCCCCTGCTCTTGGTATTTAGGGGCTCAGCAGTGCACAAGTCCCAGCACCGTTCTCTGCCAGCACAAAGGCCCTGCTTACCCTGCCTTGACCTTGATGAGGACTCATCTGTGCTAGAAGAGTCAAATGGGAGGAGGTTAGGGATAAGGCGGGGCGGAGCATGGGGGTGTGCACAAGAAGAGGTAGCACAGTCGCAGATGCTCAGAAACAGAAACTGACTGGAAGAACTAGTGAGAACCAAAGAACAGGAGGAAATAAATGAACGCACAGGGTGATGGCAGAGACAGCCAGCCAGAGGGGTTTGACATGAAGACTCCTAGGTACCCTTCTATAGGGTTATGGCTTTAATTCTACTTCTGCAAGGGTCAAAAGGCCCTGAAATATTTCAGGGCGCCACAGAGTTCAGAACGCATGTATGTGCTCTGTAGCACCGCCTTCCTACGCAGCTGAGGACCAGCGATGCTCAGATAGGCTGTCCCCCGCCCCTGCTGGCCTCCACCCCCGGCATTTCTGCCCCTTCCCCCAGACCCTATACAGGATGCCATGATCCCCTCCCTCAGGCTTACAGGCCTGGAGCAGACACCGGACTGGGAGAAGCAGTCTGGGAGGCACACATGGCATGAGCACGCCAAGAAGACTGAAAGAACCTGGCCCTGACATCACCCAGTGAAAAGTCACAGAACCTTCTTTGTCAGGAAAAGAGGCGCAACTAGAACACCCATGCTCAGCCCATCTGAACCCCTGTGACTCAGAACCGGAGGGTCCTAAACCCAGACTTATACAATGGCAGGTCAGGTCCCCCAGTCCAAGACAGAATGAGCCACGTGTCCCCAAAGAGGGAGGTGGTGCAGTGGGGGGGCTGCTGGTGGCATCTGAGGCCATCAGGTGGGGAGCATACCTGGAGTCGTAGGAGAGGCTGGTGGAGGCAGAGCCAGACGTGCTGGCGGCATCGGTTGAGTCCACATCTGAGAAGAAGGTCTGGCCTGAGCTGGCACTGAGAGGGATGAGAGAGAGAGCCTGCCATTGGCCTTGGCCCTCACACCCCATGGGACCTCACCAGTCACCTCTGGGCCCCCTCGCATCCTCCTTTGTCCAGCAGAAACTGCCTTTCCCTTGCTGAGCTCCCGGCCACCACCCCTGCAGCTGCCCCCCTGCCTGTCCATTCAACACCCAGCCAGGCTTCAAAGTCCAAGGAGTCAAGAGAGTCAACCTCGACCACCCTGCCCTGGCGGCGACAACAGTGAGATGCCAGCGAAGGAGCCTGACCCTGGCACTGGTGCCGCGCTCCCCAGGCCACAGGGCTTTCGTTTACAGGATCTTATTTGAGTCTCATATTTAAAACAGAGGAGGAGCCTCAGAGGTCAAAGAATTTCTCTGACTTTACACAGCTAGTAAGTAAGCAGAGGCTGGGGCCCCTGCTCCCTCCCTCACACCCAGGAAAGTACTCAGTGCTCTCTAGTATTAATAATTTCGGGGTAACATGATGGGTTGTGGATGGGTCCTTCCCTGATGGATAATGCTCAGGAAGTGAGCTCAGCCTGGGCAGGGCCAGCACATGCCCTGGAGGCCTGGGAACCTGGGGTAGGCACTGGGGTTTAGTAGGGAGAAGGTGGGGGGCTGAGAGGGCTCCTCTGGGAGAGCCTGGAAAGCCTCGGAGATTGACAGCAGGACGCTATTGTGGTGCCAGAGCCCTGAGAAGCCCTGAAGTAGACCCTGGGGCACTCGATGCACTATGAACCCAAGGGAGCTGCCATCCCCTCAAAAGGGTTTCTGCTTTGTCCCTTCCAGAACCAACCTTCATAGCTGGGGGACACAGGTGGTCTCCATCTCTAGATGGCAGACCTCTCTCCTGGGTCCTTTGTTACCTTTTTAAACTCTGGATCTCATCCAGGGTGAAGTCAAATATGCTGGCCAGGTGGTGGTTGGTGCTCCAGGCTGAGGTGAAGTCGCTCTGTGGACACAGGGAGGAGGGAGGGTGGTCAGTGCGCACCCATCCTGCCCCCAGACACCCTTGCACCTGCTGAGGGGTCTCAGGCTGCTGCTGCTCCAGCCAGAGCTTCTGCGGGCTGGGCCCTCCCGAGAGCAGGACCTGTCTCCTCTTCACACCCCATTCTGACCCGGGAACCAGGCTGCTCCGGTTCTGGTCCTGACCCTGTCTCTAGCCAACTGATGACCTTCTCGTCTCTGCACCTTGGCTACCCCAACTTCAACACACCAGCTTCAACAAGCTTCACCGTGGGGAAGCACAGCAGGACGAAATGACGGTTGTCAAAGTGCCTCCAAAACAGCCAGTGCTGAGAAATGGGAGCCTGGCTGCCATCACTGCCCACAGCATCCCCCTGGGCAGCGGGGCAAGCATATTACCTACCCTTGGCCCACCCCTTGCGCGTCTTGGGAACTTGGGGGAGATAAAGAGGTGGTCCTGCCATGCCTGACTTTTCTTTGTCTCACTGTAATAGGAACCTGGGCCTGAGGTACCCAGTTTTCTGCACAGGAATCCCTAATATGTGCTGACCCTGGGTGTAAAAGCAGAGAAGTAGAAACGAGACTAACACTGGGAATAGCATCTTCCAGCAAAAACTTTGATCTTTTTCTTCTATAAACTCGCCTTTTCTGCTGCTGGAATTCGTGAGGCAACAAACTGTGGAGACAGAAAAGGGAGAGGGTGGTGCAGTCAGAGGCTGAAGGCCCAAGGGAGGAGAGGCGGGCAGGGCTGGTCCCAGAAATAAGTGAGAGGACAGCTTCTTCACAAGGAGGGGGGCTGTCTTCTGGGGAGAAAGAGGGATTATGTGGAGGATTAGGATAGGCAGAGACAAGGTGTCTTTCCAGGCACATGACCCAGACATGTCCTGTCCCGAAGCCCAGGGGGAGCTAAAGAACCCTGACACACAGACTTCCCTCACCTCTGCCTGAACCCCCATCCAGCAGGACCGGGACCCTCGATCTGGCTTTCCCTCCAAGAAAGGCAGTAAGGAAGGGGCTGTGGTGGAAGCCAGGGGTGTGGGATCCAGGCACAGCTTGGCCACTAGCTGGTGCTACGAGGGGCCCCCAGCTGTGAGGAGCTGCTCATGTGGGCACCACCAGTCTCAGACCCAGCACACAGTTCTGGGGCTGAGGGCTGCAGCCCTAGCCCCTGGTGCCCAGGCACTGACCCAGACTTGCTCTTTCCTCTCTTCCGCAGCTCAGAGGGGGCGCCGTTCTCAGTGGGCACCAGCCCCTTGTCAGGCAACAGCTTCCCCGGCGGGTTGGGGGGCACCCGGATGCGCAGGCGGAAGATGCACTTCTTCTTCTTGATCTCCTTGCCACAGAGGAACCTGGAGGTGGGCAGGGGGAGGAGAAAGCTCTGGAGTCTGTCGGTCCATCCTCCTGGGGAGGAGAGTTAAGTGTTAAAACTACAGGCTCTGCCTCCCTGGATCCAGAGGAAAATCCGGAATGCCCCGTGGATCAGGGCTCCCAGGTGGTGGCTAAGAACGTGGCTGGTGGCTCCTCCCTGTCTTTCCTCCTGCATCTGTGTGGTCCTGGCTGCTCCTCCCTTCTCCGCCTTAGCCAATCCCAAGGCCACCTCCTACAAGAAGGTCTCCAGCTTCCAGCAGAACTGCTATCATCCAGTATGTTCTACACCACTCTGTGCTCTGCTCTCCAGGGAGACCAAAAGCAGCTCCAGCCTTCCAACATGGCTGAGCTGCCGTGAGCGGCAGGGGTGGCTCAGACACAGCCCTTCCCTGGGGCCGTGTCCCCCAGAGGGCAGGGGGTCTCAGCACTCAAGAGCAGGGCTGTGTCTGGGCCCCACATTATGAGAAGAAAGGTAGAGAGAGTGATAATTCTGCTTATATATGTGTGGCGAGGGTTCAGAAAAGCATGTCCTGTTCCTCCCCTAGTCCTCAGCATCAACATGGGCTGACAGCAGCAGTTTGACAGATAAGTATTGATGTAACAAGGGAACAAAACAGACTGAAGAGCATTCTAGGCCGAGGGAAGAGCATGAACCACAGCCCCAGTGGGAGCACGCAGAGCAAGCAAGCCCAGGGACGGTGCCGGAGGGCGTAGCAGGGTCCAATCACAAGAGGCTGGAGTGCCATGCTAAGGAGCCCAGACACTCCCAGGTGGTAGTGAGGGCTGTGCCAGCTGTGTGTGCAGAAGAACTCAGACATTTGGATGGGAAGGCACAGGCTGGGGACGACTCAGGAGGGCACGGCACCCCTGAGCGGGGGGAATGGCTGATCTGAGTGCCTGGCCAGAGCCTAGGGGCCCTCCGCGATCGGAGCACAGCCCCTGGTGGAGCTGAGCCTGGTACCAAGGGTGCTGGGGAGGTGTTGTCACAGGAGGTAGGGTGCTTCCTGGCTCTTCAAGGACTGGGGGGACTAATGTGGTCAAAGTGATTGGGGGGACAGCTTGAGCAAAGGCTATGAGGTGGGAAGAACCTCAGGATGGAAGCCCCGCGTCCCGGGGCCCCACGGCACTCTTCCTTGCACGCACCGGCTTTTGTAGCTGTTCAGAGCGTTGAGGAGATGGGGTCCTCGATCTGTCACAGGGGTGCTGGTGAGCTAAAGGGAGCAGAAGGACGGTCAGACCCGGGCCCCAGTATCTGAGGAAGCCTCAGCCTCGTCGCCTCCTTCCCTCCATTTCCTGGTGCCGCTGGCCCTCCAGGCGAGGCCCACTGCCAGCCCAATCTCTGAGCTTATCTCCCACCGCTAAGTGGGGAGGGCGATCTCTGTCCTAAACGTATCAAGAGCTTTAACCATGTCCAGGCCTGTGACCCAGTAACGCTATCCCGTGTGAGCTATCCCACAGGCAAACCACAAAACACAAATAAAGCTCTACGCAAGCAGCGTTCACTGCAGCTTTGTTCTGATGATGGGCAAACGGGTAGGAGCCTGCATGCCCAACCAGAGGAAAACTGGGGGCCACACGGCCGCCATTGAAAACGTTCAAGAGAACACTTTCATTCTGTGCTAAAATATAAAGTGAAAAAAAGGGATGATTTAAAATGAACACTGTATAATCTAAGGCATGCAAAAAGAAAAAGCACAGAAGAGACAGACAATGGAAGGAAATGCACCCGAGCTTTGCTGGTAGTTGTTTCTGGGTGCTGTGATGTGGGAGCGCGGGTTATTTTTTTAAAAAAGTCTCCTTCCTTACACTTTTTGGTTCTTAAATTTTTGTCTACCAGAAACCTGTAAGGTTCTTTCATATGTATTAATGTCAGTTCTCTCCACCCTCTAGGGTATAATCATATGCGTGTCCTTTATAAATGATCAAATACTGTGAATGAAGATGCAGTCACATGAAAAGTTTAAAGGATATCAATTTTTTGAAAGCCTGGTCTCATCCATGAAGGATTTGGGGCGGTGGGCAGTGAAGACGCCTAGCTCTGGATGTGGTGGAGGGGGTTCTATGGCCTCATTAGGGAAAACGGGGCGTGGTCCGCCCTGAAAGTGGTTGGGAGGTCCCAGCTCCAGTCCCCACTCAGCTCCAAAGCTGTGCTAACCACCTGCAGGTCATCCTCCACCTCCGACATCTGGGGTCTGGTTTGTTACTGCTTCACTCCTGAGGACCAGGCTCCCAGGCCTCTGGTGACCCAATGCTGCTATTCAAAGTATGACCAGCAGAGGGCAGGCCCGCCTCACCTTCCATCCCAGGCAGGTAATCTGGAGCAGGTCAATCTGGCGAGAGCTGCTCCAGCCAGCGCCCTGCAGGTGAGTGGGTGGGGGTAACCCACCCATGGCCAAAACCTGGGTCAGGAAGTTCCAGCTCAGGCAAGCACCAGCTCAAAGGCTCTGGGTCTCTGTTGCAGCCAGCAACCCTTGCAGAGGGGCAGCGTTGCCAAAGAGGGAGCACCCAGAGACCTGGATGCTAGTTCTGCACTGTGTGACACTGGGCAGACTTCAGGACCTTGGGGACTCCGCTGCAAAGTGGACTCCCACCATTCCGACAGCCCACAGTCCTGCATACCTTGCCGAGCTGCAGGAGCTCCCAATGGTGGTTGACAAAGGCCAGAATCTCCTCAAAATCAAAGTACTTCTTCTTGCTCTGCACCCCCAGGTTGTAGAGGGCCAGGTGAACCACATCCACCCTGGGCAAGGGGGCAAGGAGGTGGGGCACGGGTGAGGTGGCAGCCTGCCCGCCCGGGGCGGGAGCCTCCTGGTACAGGCTGAGGGGCAGGGGCAAGGTTGGGACCTGGTAGCTGGAGATGGAATTGTTCCCGGAGGGAAGGGGAGACAAGGGGGCAGGGTGAGCCTCGGCCAAGCCCCCGCTCTCACCATCGCAGGGGCAGCCTCTCGATGTACTCCGGGCCCTGGTTACACACAGAGCAGAAGAACAGGTAGAACCTGTGGGTGGGTGGAGAGGGGGCCTGTGGTGGGGGGCGCTCTGACACCCTATCCCAGTCCCGTCCCCTCCCCACACTACCCACCTGCCTTCCCAAAGTCAGTGTTGTCCTCTTAGGGCTGCTGATGGCTTGGGAGCGGGGAGTAAAGATGGGGCAGGAACTGAGAATACTGCCCTTCCCTGTCTAGCCTCCACCTCAACCCCTTCCCTGCCCGGGCGTGTGGCTGAGTTCACACTGCTCTGAGCTGGATGGGGCAGCAGTGGTCACCCTCAGACCAGTCTCCTGTCAGTAGTCCCACTGGTCATCCATTTCCCAGTGGCTCCTCCAGCCCTGGGAAGGGTGAGGCAGGGCCTGGGTCACTCCCCCTTCCCGACACCTTGAAGGGCCTGGGGCTAGGGAAGGTAGGAATTTGTCCAAGGTCTCCCACAAGTCAAAGGCAACTGGGGCTGTGGCTTAGCATGTTCTCTACTGAGGAGGCCTCCCCCACCCTGTTGCCCCCCGTTGATGGTACCCACTCTTATAGACCCCTCCTTGTCTAGGGTCTGGTAACCTGACAGAACTGCTGTTGCTGCTGTCCCCTGACCCCAACCCCGCAACACACCCCCAAGGCTGAGCCAGACCAGATCAGCACCTACCGGTCTCCGAACATCATGGGCTCATTGAGGCACTGGGTGCAGGCCTCGTGGAACCACTGTCTGCACCGGTAACATTGCAGCATCCGCAGGTACCATCTGGAGAGCCAGAGGAGCCAGGGTCACCCGGGTGCCCACCCCCAGCCAGGCATCGGCCTCAGCAACCTTCCCCAACATATACCAGCCCTCCACTGGAGAAGGGAGGAGGAGTCGGTTAGCCAGCCCTTAGGCTGGGCCAGGGGAGGTCCCCAAAGCAGGGCCTGAGATAGCCTGTGTGGTTAAACATGGTCACTGTCCCCCATCTTGCAGCTGATGAGTCAGAGATTAAGTGCTTGCTCAAAGTCACCCAGGAAGCAGTGGTGGATAGTGATTCAGATCCTGGCCTCTGACTTCAAAGCCCGTGCTCTTGCACCAGGCCACACTGGAACCCCTGTCTCTGGCCTGAGGGCCCATAATGCTTCCCAAACAACCCTGACAGGGTGCGCTTGCCTGGGGGAAACTCCTAACAGAATAAAGGCTCCACTAAGTTTGATGGGCAGTGCTGCAAAGTGTTTCGTCTCACCTGCTACTAAATTGACCCTATCAGGGCCATTTTACAACTGTTCATTGACTATGAATGAAAAAAAAAAAAAGGTATTTTCTTTACAGGTGATGCTTTGTTCATACCTGGCCAGGGGTGGTCTGTGGGCCACCTGCATCAGAATCTTCTAGATCTGGGTTAAAATGCAGATTCCTTGGCCTGCTCCAGAACTACCCATTTTGGGGGGAGGTCCTGAGAGGTGCATTTTTAACAAAATGCTTACTGGGCAACTCTGTGCATTAAGCCCTGAGACCCACAGCTTCATGCTGACATGTCTATAAGCATTTCTCTGTGATCCCAGATGCTGCTGCCCAACACCCAGGGAAGCTGATGTTCCCCCACCCCCAGGCCTTAATCACATCTGAGAGATGAAGTGGTTCAAGGAATTTGCCCAAGTTGCCCAGTTAGGCTGAAAGTACAGCCTCTGCCCCGCCAGTTCTCGTCAACAGACCCTGGAGCTGAGATTCAGAGACAGGGGCTAGGTTTCCTGTGGTCAGAGTCCCATTTCACTTCCCTGCTCCCTCCTACCTGTCCAGTGCACTCAGCCCAAGGAAACCGCCCATGGCTACAGGAAGGCTAAGCCAACAGGGAAAAAGAAGCAAGGACCCCCTGCTGGAGCACCCCCCCCCCCCCCCGCAAGCATGCCCAGCCATGACTCAGCCATGACCCAGCCGCTGCCTGCATTTCTCAGGCAAAGGATCTTTTCTCGCCAGCAGTGGAAAGGTTCATCTTCACTTCCTCACATCAGCAGTACCCCCAGAAACAGCTCACATCTGTTAAGTGCTCACGGGTGCCAAGCACTGAGAGCCTTTCTGGAATTCTCTAACTCAGCTTCTACCACGCAGTGGGAGAACTATGGTAACTGAAGTTGGGTGCGCAGCTGGAAGGGCAAGGAGGATTTGGATGTGTGGCCCAGGCTCTGAACCATTACTCTGTACTTTCTTCTTACCCAGCGTACCCCAAGAAAACATGACCACCCTCGTCTCCCCACTACCCAGCCCTCCAGTCCCATGGCCACTGTCTTGATATTCAGGGTCTTACCAGGAGGACCCTCCACTAGCCCCCTGCCCCAGGGCCCCGCCCCTTAGGCCCAGTTCCCGGGGATTAATCTGGGGGTCCAGCGCCTGCCCCCATCCGCAACACCCCCCCTTGACTTCTGGGAGGCCCCACCCATAGCCTTACTCTCCGGGGCCACCGCAGTAGCAGTAGCATTGCTGCTGGTTGGTGCGGTGGGGCGAGTCCCATTCGAGCTCCTCGGGCTGGTAGGACAGCACCATCTTCACGGCCTGCAGTGTCCTGGCGATGGCGCCCTTCTTCAGAGCCCCGCCTTTCTGTGGGGAGATGAGGACCGGTCACTCCCTGGCTGGGCCCCCAGTGTCAATGTGGGGCTCTCAAGGGGGGCCCCAGATATCCCAAGGCCAGAGACTCAAGGAGACTTTTCCCATGTGCTCGCTATCCCAGAACAATCTCCATCAAGGGTCATATTAAGTAACAGACACAGCAATAAAGAGAATAGTAACTGACCAATGTGGGCACTTACGTGGATTTTCTCTTTTAACAATAAGGCACCATTTATTGGGGGCCTCCCACTCTTGACAGCACACCTGTACCATTTTACAGTTGAGCAAACTGGTTCAGAGACACTTAGGCAAGCAGCCAAGGTGCTGTCTGCCTCCAAGGCCGGGGCTCTCTGACCGGGTGTCTGGTCTGAGCCCAGTCTCTGGGGGTCCTAACTGCAGCACCAAGGAAAGGCGGGGACTGGGAGGATGGAAGGCTCACCCGCACAGCCAGTGCGAAGATGCAGCGTCGGCAGAACCACGGTGTAAGCAGGGGCCTGTCAGCACTGCCCGCTATGGGGATGTGGCACTGCTGGTGGTAACCTGCGGCAGAGGAGGAGTGGTGAATACCCACAGGGAAGAGGTGGCCCAGCGGTCAGCCCAGGGCTGGAAGGGCTGCTGCAAGTCCTAGGAGCTGTGCGCCCTGCCAGCCAAGCTGGTGCCCACTGAAAGGACTGAAAGACAGCACTAGCCCTGGTCGGGAAGGCCCCAGAGGTCTGGTTTCAGTCTCCGTGCTGACTCCTCCCATCCATCGTCTCTACCCAGTGGGCTCTGACTTAGACTACATACTTTGTCTTACTTTCTAGAAGGCCCAGTTAACCCTAAGGGTCCCCTCCCTAAGCCCTCATTCCTAGACATTGGCCCCCATCCCTCTGGAGCTACCACAGAAACAGGAGCCAGCAGAAGCCCCAACAGTCTGTGGAGGTGCCCATCACGGGCCAGTGGGGGATGAGGGCCCAGGATGGGGGCCTTCTCAGCACCCTGCCCACCACACTCACCCAGGCCACACTTCCCACAGATGAGGATCTCATTCAGGGGCCCCGAGGTCTTTCCCAGGCAGATGTTGCACTTGGGCTCCTCCCCTGGAACACCAGCTGAAAAAGAGGCGCCCGGCGGTCAGGTCCGGCTGGCAGGAATCGCAAGTGTGTTGAAGTCACACTCCAGGCGCTGAGCCTCGGAGGGCTGGGCCAGCACATGCTAACATAGAGTCTCCCCAGCCACTCACAGATGCTTTTTATTACTGCCTCATCCTAAAGTTGGGGTGGTGGCTGTTCCCCCACATCCATCACTTGCTCAGCTAGTAAGCAGAGGGGATTTAAACCTGGGGCCTCTTGATAGCAAGCCCTTCTGTTAGCATGTTGCCTCTCCTGCCTGATTTAGCTTGATTTGTTAAACAGTATTTTATATTAAATAATTTAAAATACTTATTATGGAATAGAATATAATAAACAGCACATTCTCATCAAAAATTATGAACTCATGACCAATCTTGCTGGGACTGTGCCCACCAACTTTCAATCCTGGATTATTCTGAATCAAGTTCCAGTTCTCCAATCACCTGTAAATATTTCCATAGGTACTGTAAAAGACTAGGCTTCTTTTGAAAACATAGTCAGTTAGTGTTCACATTTCTAATTGTGTCAAATAAAAATGTCACAACAATGTAACTTTGTTCATTGCTTTACCCCCAAGCGCCCTTTCTTTTTTTATTTGCACTTTTTGAAGAATAAATAGGTCCACATGTGAAAAGTTCACGTGAATAAATTAAATACACTGTGTGTTGTATGTATGCTCCCGTCTCATTTCCCCAGCCACCTGAATGGACAGTCAGGGCAGAAATGCTACATGTCCAGCAATGTGTCCCCAGGCCCTCAGAGTGGGTGGCATATAACACACGTTCAAGACATGCCTGTTGGGGGACAGTCTTCCCGTGGGTCTCGGGAAGTCCTCACTGGCCTCCTGAAGTGATGGATCCAGAACCACAGCGAACCCAGTCCTATGTTGTCATATTGGGAGACACCCCAGGGAATCCCACCTGCCCTTGAGCAGTTATCTGGCTGGGGAGCCAAGCCCCTGCCCAGGAGAGTGCTGGGGCCCCGCTACAGTGCCTGGCGCACAGCCCACCTTCTCCTCCAGGATCACTGAGAGGACCCGTCCTTCCTCACCACCTGGTCTTTGTGCTGGAGTAACCCAAGAGGGGAGATCCTCGCTGCCTCAGACCTTTCCCAATGAACTCAGGCGGGGAGGGGCTGGGGCGGGATCAGTCTGCATGGGCCACGACTTCGTGGAGACAGCAGGGAAGGTGTGCTGGGTTCTGGGACTTCTATGCTCCTTAAAACCATCCCTAATGGTAATCGTCCCTAGAAACCGCCTTCCTGTAACTCAACAGCAAAGCTAGTAATCTGACCATCACCTTGGGAAGGCTTGGGGGTCTCGGGCAAGGCCAGATGCCAGGAGGAAGAGGCAGAAGAGTAGGGAAAAGTGGGGGTAGAGGAAGAGAGAGTACCTGGGGGGAAGGGATGCCTCAAATACTCACCATACTGGTGAGTATTTGGAATACTCACCATGCTGTATGTCCTTCCACAGGACCCAGTATTTGGAATTATCTTCAAAAGTCACAAGGCAGCTCTGCTTAGAGCTGCTGACCTGGGGCAAGGAGAGGGGGGAGCAACTTAATAAAGCAGTGAGGGAAAGTCTCCCGGACATGGGCTTCTCCTGTGTTTGTCTGTAGGGAGCAGAGGGATTAGACCCCTCTTTGTGTTCCAGGAAGCAGAGCTAGACTAGCAGGGGAAGTAGTTCCTGGAGGTAGTGCATTCCCAGACACTAAGGTTGTGAAGTCAGGGCCCGGGGGGCAGCACCAGCAAGAGGGTCTGTGAACCTCTCTAATCTGGTTTTGTCTGTAGGCTCACAGAGCACTTCTCTAAAGAAATGGTTGGGTGGCATTGGCCCTAGGGATGGTACCCACAAAAGCAGATCCTGGCTCCTTCCATTTTCAGTTTTTGAACATGAGGGACAAGAAGGGAATGTCCCAGCAATCCCCATCCTCTGCACTGATTGGAAGAGGAGCAGAGAGCTACTGAATCTGGGAACAGAAAGGAAAGTTTTACCCTCTTTATCTTCCCGAGGTAGTACAGTCCATCTGTCCACCGGCACAGCACATACTGACCCTCTGTCAGCTTGGACATCAGGTCTTTGAAGTTGTTCTTGGCTTTTGCCAGAGCCCCCTTGTTGGGGAGGTGGCTGGTGGCACCATAGGAGTCCCGAGTCCCTGAGTCCAGAGCTCGGGTCTCCATCAGCTTCCAGTGCCACTGGAAGAGAAAGAGAACAGGGTTTTACTTCCAGCTTCCCTGCTCCCGAAGTCCACCAGGAGACTACCATTTCTGTACCCTATGCCTTATGCCAGACACTTTTATCATCTCACTTAATCCTCATGATAGCCCTGCGAAGGCGACATCATTCCCGTTCCTTGAGTAGAGAAACTGAGGTTTGGCAAGGGGAAGCAGCCAGCAGGTCAGAGGCAAGCCAAGATAATCAAAGTCCTGCTCTCTCCTGCTACCAGCCACAGAGCAAAGTCTTCCTGCCCAGGGGGCCTGAACCACACTCCCTGACTTGAAAGTGGAGGTTTTATCCCTTAAGCAAATACACTCAGTGTTCTCTGAGGGCCTCCCCCAGGGAGCACCCTCACCCCTACCACGAGATCTGCCCAGAAAAAACACCTAGAAAGGAACACTTTTGGGTGGCTGGTGACATGGTTGGACTTGTCCATCTGCACCCTCTGTAATCCCCTTTTCTGTTCTCAACTATGGGATGATTTAATGGAAACCAATTCTGGGACATTTAAACTCGCTTATGCTTTTACTCAGATGCAAATTTTCTCCAAGCTATTAAGTCATCGCTATGCCAATCTCTCCACACCTCTCCCTCACCACCCTTCACTGCTTTCTCTCTTCTGCTAATGGTATGACTATGGACCCCAGAACCCACAAGTGACAGAAACTTCTTCAACCAGTGAGTTGCCACAGGTGGCCAAGCACAAGGATTTCTGGCATCTGACTTCGCTGGTTCCATCCCCCGCACCCCACTTCAGCCCCCCTGGTCTGATTTCTGGCCTCAACTTTTGTATGCACGCATGCATTCATTTATTCACTCATTCAATAACTGTTCCCTGACCCTAGTGCTCAGGTTGCATTCACCTATGCTAGGCACCTGGGATGGGGAGGGCTAAGCAGGCCACTCCCTGCTCTCCTGCCTCCCCATTAGACTCTTCCGTAGGACCACCAATTCCCTTCTTGCTGCTCCTGTCCTAACACCTCTTGTGGCTTCCAGTGCCTTCACTGGCATTCAAAGTTCTCTCCATGATCCTTTTCTCCACTCTCTGGGCTCACCTGCACCTTACCCCTCCACATGGGTAGCCAAACACAGCCTGCCTCTGTTCCCTGCACCCCATACTCTGGTCCCCTCCCTCTCTGCCTTGGCGCTGGGCATCACTCCTTATGTGCGCTGTCAGGGAGAGTCGGTGTCTCTCTCAGGGGAGTGCATTTGTACTCCGGTGTGATTGTGTTTGATGACATCTTACAGCAGAGTATCAGTCAGTAAATGAAACGAACCATGTGTGTGCATGCCAGGGACCCTGGGGCAGGCCGGGCGGTGTTGCCACATCCCTCCTCCACGTCCAACCCTCCCCTCTGTTCTGGAGGGCCGAGGACACAGGACTGCGTGGGGTATGCGCTCTGAATGGCTCTCGTCACCGTCCCCCGTGCCATCACTCTGCCGCCTGGCTCCGAGGCCCCAGCCCAGACCGCGCGGGCTCGGCCCCGGCAGGTTCCCAAACTGACACCTCTGCCCGCCGCACGGCTGGGAGCGGCCCGGCTGTCGCGCTCTCCCCGCCACGCCGGGCCGCCGGGTGGCGGTCCCCCCACACGCATCTCCATCCTCCCGAGCGGCCCCCGCCGGCTGTGATTGGCTGATTCAAACCCATCTGCACAGAAATGCCTGTTTGCGGGTTCCGTCGGCGTCCAGTTCAAATCAGCGGCGCCCGGAGCGCGGGGCCGGCGGGGGCAGGAAGCTGGGATGATTCATACGCCGCGGCCTCTCCCAGGGCGGCCGTTGGCTTTTTAAAAAGGGTGTTCGGGAGGGAAAAAAAAAACCCAAAAAACCCGCTTTCAGGAGCACCCCCTCGGGTGCCAGCGCTCGTCTCGTCAGCCGCCCCGACGCCCAGCTCCCCTCCCCGTGCCAGTCCCGCCTCGGCCCAACTTTGGACGTGAGCAAAATCCCCAACACCGCGTCGGTCTCCACCCCCCCCCCGCCCCCGAACGGGAGAAGCAGCGATGCGGAGCGGGGAGCAGCGACCTGTCACCCACGTCCCCGAGGCCGGGCCCCGGACCGGACCCCCGTCGCTCCGAGACCCCAGGCGGCCCCTCCCTCCCCGCGCGCGGCCCCGAGACTCCAAACCCTCCTCGGAGACGCTCCGCGGTCTCGCCTGCTCGGGGGTTCGGAAAGAGAAGGAGCGCGCGGGGCGGGACCCCCGCCGGCCGGCCGAGCTTACCGCGAGGCTGCGCGTCCGCCGGTCCCACTTGGCGTCGGGCCGCCAGGCGCACCGGCGGCGGAGGCGGCTGAGCCCGGGCCGCGGCTGCCCCGCGGAGTGTCCGCCCGGGGCCGGGGTCGGGGTCTCGGCGGGGGCGGGGCGGGGCGGGGGCGCCGCGGGGAGGAGGGGGAGGGTGGCGGGGGGGCAGGAGGGAGGGGCCGGGGCGCTCAGGAAGGGGCCCCTGGGCGCGGGGCGCCATCTTTTTCGCGTTTTCCCGCGAATTATTGACGTCCCGCTTATGTAATTAGCGGGGGCCGCGCCGGCCTCGCCATTGGAGCCCGCGGCCGCGGAGCCCCGCCGCGCCGCCCGCGCCGCCCCCGCGCCGCGCCCCCGCCCCGCCCCGCCCCGCCCCGCCGCGCCCCGCCCCGCCCCGGGCGCATCCCCGCCGCCGCCGCGCGCCGAGCGGGCGCCCACCCGGCGCCCCGCCACGGGCCGACAGCTGGCGCCGCCGCGCCGCGGGGGGTGCAGGCGCGCGGGGGCGCGTAGGGCGCTCTCAGGCCGGACGCCCCGGACGGGAGCCGCGCAACGCCAGCGCGCTGCACCCTGCGCCGCGGCGCGGACGACCCGGAGCGGCGCAAACAGAAAGGAACAGACTCACAGTACACGGCGCAGACGCGAGCGCCCGGCACCCCGCGTACAAGACAGCGCGCAAGCCTCCGAGCCCGACGGCGTGCACACAGAGTTGCACACGCGGAGAGGCGCGCCGCAGAACGTCCACGTGGGTAGACACACACGCCAAGAGGCACCACGCAGACACACAGGAGAGACAGCACCGCGAAGAGGAATGACACGCAGGCACAACGCGCGGGCGCACAGCTCAGAGCTGTGCTGGTCGCTTACCCAAAACCGACTTAGAGCTGAGTGGCGCGCTGTGAAGGACGGCAGACGCGGGGTCCTAAGCATGGGGGTCTGGGGCAGTGGGCTCTGCGCTCGCCAGAGAGGCTCCTGAGCCTGGGGGAGGGGAAGGCAGATGTGCCCCCCTTCAGGCCCACTTTGGGGGTGGGGGCAGGATGGAGAATGCTTACCAAGCAGCCCTCCCCCCACACCCTCACCTGCTGCCAAGGCTCTGCAGACACCTCAGGAGGTTGTGGGGGGCGGTGTACACCGTGATGGGTGTGGTCAATGGAGGGCACTTCCCCACACCTAGCCTTCCGGGTTCTGGTCAAGTTGACCACCTTGGGCCCTCTAGCTCCAGCCCTGGGGCGACATTCTCTCTCGGGCGGGCTGGATCTGCCAGTAGGGCGTCGGAGCAGCCAGGCAGCTGTTAAGAAAGGAAACCCTGGGATCCTGAGCATATGTCAACTGTTAAGCCTCCTTTCCTCAGCTAAATTGTGTTGTGGGGAAGGTTATGGTTGTTTGCACAGCCTTTGGCTCCGGGGGGGGGGGGACCCGTAAATGATTCTTTTACTCTGCCAAGGACTTATGTACTCACTGAGTGTCTCCCTGGATGGGGCTAGAATTGAGAATCACGGGACTACAGTCTCTGGGGGGAATCAGGCCAGCATATAAACATGAGGGGCGCAGTGCTGCAAACTGGCAGTGGAATTAGGGGAAACCTGGCTTCAAGTGCAAGCTTTGCCACAGAGGGGGCAGAGTCTTTAGCCATGTTTCTTCATCATTCGCAGGGGACAAGGATACTACCCCATCTCACAGGGCCTTTGCAGAGATGAGGTTGAAATCAGACACGAGAAGTTAAAATCAGACATAATGAAGAACAGGTGCTTTTGTAAATGAAGTAGTAAGCAAAGTTGTTGGAACACTGCAGAAGAGGACATTAAAAATGCCATGAGAAGAAGTTTGTGTCACTAGTGATCAGGCTGGAGTTCAGATGTGTGGAGAGAAGCAGTGGGAGATAAGATTGAAAGAGAAGATGGAGGGCCTCCCCTGGTGGCACAGGCAGTTGAGCGCAGCGCTGTCAGCAGCCTCTGCAGCGCTGGTTCTGTTCCCGGCTGGCCAGGGAGAACCCCACATGGCGCGGCAGACCTCTCCTGCCTCGCCCGCTGCTCCCCTTAGCAGTGTCTTTGGTCCGTCTGCCTGTTCTGCTCCCTGCTCTGGCTCTGGTGAATCCTCTCACCCTCCCGCGCATCTGGCATGTACCTGGTTCTTGTATAAACAAATAAATAAATCTTAAAAAAAAAAAAAAGAAGATGGAGCAGAGTTTAGCTGGCTGAACTTCATCTTCAGCCCACAGGCAGGCAAGAGCCACTGAGCACAGGTGTGGCTGTGCCTCTTCTGGAGAGAGCTTCAGGACTTCTAAACAGAAGTCGTGAGCACCATCTGGATTTATGTCTGGACCTGGCTGCAGTAGATTAAAAGTGTGGTCAAACAAGAGGAAGAGGAACAATTCAGTTGTTGAAAAAAAATGGGTTAAGGATATCAATGGGCAATTCACAAAAGAGGAAAACTATGTGGCTGAAAATATGAAAAGCTGTTCAGCCTCACTGGTCATGTGAGAGATGCAAATGAAAAGAGCAGTGATACTTGCCCCCTAAACTGGTGAGGAGTAAGCAATCTGTCAAAAATGGGGTGGTAAGGCAGGGGTGGTAAGAATTTGGTGCCATCCCTCATCCACCATGGATGGACATGTAAGTTGCCACAACTACTTTGGAGAAGAGATAGTAAAATATCTAGTAAAGTCAAAGATGTTCATCTCTACAATTCAGCGACTCCACTCACTCTAGCACATCATTGTGAAAAGTTAGACACTGATTAATTGTCCATCAGCAGCAGTCAAAAAAAAATTTGTTCACATAATTTGTTCATATGGGGAATAAAAATGAACAAAGGGTTTAACCCTCAACATAGACACAGTCTCAAAAAAATCAACCTCGACTTATAGGATAAGTACAGTGTGATACAAAAAGCTTTGAGAACACTCAAAACAACCCTATGTATATATATTTAGGACACAGTTAGATAGTGAAAGCATCAAATCATCCTGGAAAAGCAAAAACACTCAATTCAGAAGAGTGGTTACCTCTGGGAAGGAAAGATGGGATAGGATCGGAAAGAGGCACATGGGAAGAGGCACTTCATTGTATCCATCATGTTTTGTTACCTGGAAAACATAAAAATATCTGAAGTGGATATGACAGAGGGTCCAGAGGCAATCTCCATCCCAATCTAACATTTTTTTCTCTATTTTCTGTATGTTTGAAGCCTTTGATAAGTTTAAGGGTGGGAGGGGCAGGGAGTCTGAGGGGCTTGCCACTGGAGGTTGTTAATAGTGCTGTCACGTGACCTGGCCCGCTGTCCCAACAAATCTGCTGCTGAGACCAGCCACTGCTTGGTGATCGGCATGCCAGGGGCCAGGTTCCCCTGGGAGGTATGGGGGAGGGAAGAGATCAGAGGTTTGGAGAAGTGATTTCCCCAAGGTCACAGTCACACCTGGTGGGGAGTTAGGATGGGTCCCCTTACTCAGCTGTGTCCTAGCACCTGCCCATGGGGAAGGCTGCCCAAGACCACCTTGAGAGGTCTCCTGCCCGCCTGCACCTGCTGCACTTCTCCCTTTTCTCCTGTTTCTAAGCCATAAACTTGAAAAAATAGAAAAACACCAGGAAGAAAAGTCACTTGTGATTTTCACTGTCTTACTTTCTGAGTTTTTTGGAGGTGTTTATAATTCATCTACAATAAATTCACCTATTTTAATTGTAGTTTATTTTGAAATGATCTTCTTTGAAAGAAGATCATTCTGTTTTGGAAATATTTTAAAGTACTCTAAAAAGAAGAAAATGCTATTCACAAATAGGAATAACTCATTATTGTAATAAAAGTTTTGTAAATCATTGTGATAGGGCCTCCCTGGTGGCACAGGCGGTTGAGCATAGCACTGTGAAGCTGTCCGCAGCCTCTGCAGCACAGGTTCGATCCTGGCGCCGGGGGCCAGGGAGCAAACCACATGGCGCGGCAGACCTCTCCTGACTCGCCCGCTGCTTCCCTCAGCAGTGTGTTTCAGTCAGTCTGTCTGTTCTTTTCCCTGCTCTGTCTCTGGTGAATCCTCTCACCCTTCCACACATCTGGCCTGTACCCCGGTTCTTGTATGCATGAATAAATAAATCTTATAAAAAAATCATTGTGATAAAGGTGCTTTCACCCTGAAAGCAGGTGACCAGCTCAGTGGGCCTCGGGGTCTTGCTAGTTCAGAAAGTCCTCAGTTTTCAAATTATAGTGGAAAGTGAAATTGTTAACACCACTTAAAATTAAAAAAAAAAAAAGAATGAAATCTAAAACAGTCAAGGTCAGGCTGTGACCTGTTGAAGAAATTGGGGGCTTGATTAGCTGTCA